TTTATCAAGACTGATGGACTGATTACCTCAAACTCATCTTCCACCGTTCTTTGTATTAGACTAACGAAGCAACTGACTGGCAAAATTTTCCCATAATAAAGATACCCAAATGCTACACAAGTGTGTCTCATTCGTCAACTTAGCGTTAATAACATCACGTATTGCAGAAAAAAAAATGGCGATGGGTTTGGTTGTGGGTATTTTGAGAAATGTTTCTTTACACTAGCTGTAGGCTGCATTTAATTCATTCCAGCAAATCTTTAGTGTCTTTATAATCTATCATTACCATAATTCGGGATAGTATATCACTTCAGCCAACAATTAAATCAATTTGATCCAGAATGGAAAGCTATAAATGACAATGGTTCCCTAAACGTCATTTATAGTTTTCCAAACATTATCAGTCTTCGTTTTTCCACTTAAATTATGCTATAGAACTACAGGTTTGTTACAGGATGTGGTAGGGATGCCTTTCTTAGATCGCGCAGACACTGGAACAAGTACTACTGACGGAGCGTCGCGCATATCCCCAACACCAACCTAGTATACCTAACTGGTTTTAAATGACCATTATTTTTAAAGGAGTGGACCGGTAAGCCAGTGGAAGGCCTCGGTCAGATGACCAAAGCTCCAAAGGCGCGTCATCACCTGACTAAGACCCGCGTCAGGAAACACTTGTCCTGTTTCCTGACAAACTTTACCTAACCAAGCTAATTTGTTCACCTTTAGTTATGAGGAAACGAAAGTGATAAGGCAATGTAAAAATTTATCTGGTAATTAGGTATTCCAATAATGTTAAATATTTTTTTTAGCTTCTCGTTTATTAAACAATATTATTATTTATTAACATGTAGGGGTCATGCAGCACCTGGGGAATAGGTAATTATGTTGAACCAAGGAAGAGTAGTGTACCTCTAATTCCTTGGATCAAGAGCCTTTCACAAGCATCAAGGTTTAGCCGTGAAGAAAACGATGTATTGAAATAATCATAGTTCAACTGGTAGATCTCTAGGCTCGCAACCGAGGGACTAGGCACTAGTGGAAAAGTTTGGAATGTTCACTTATACCTGTTGTATTGCCCATGTTTACCTAAAAGTAAATATGTACTAGGTATTACTGACTGTTAAGTGTCGCACACCAGGGTGTCAGTATTTCTTAGGCAGAGCTGGACTCTGAAATGAGCTAATATAGGATAATAGCTCTTAGCTTCTAAATTCAACTTTGAAAATGCACCTCTTTGAAATTTAAAACACATGCGTTTGCTAATAACCTACACTAGGATCATTTTACAACCAATACTGTGACAGAGCTGTATCAAGAGCACCAACTTTGGCCCTACTGTCTCGTCCTACGACCTGTTTTCATACATAACTTTGAGGGGTACGGGAATATGCTGTGAAAACTGGGGCTGTGGGATGAGACAGTAGGGTCATAGTTGGTGCCGCTTATACATTTTATTATAATAAAAAAGCGCAAAACCACAAGGACAGATCCTATTGTAAACTCTACAGCTGAGTGGTTACAGCGTTAAACCGTGGTGATTGCACATACAGGCTCGAGTCCCTATTCATTTTCTTGTATAGGAATGCTATTTCTGCTCAGTAACTCGAGAGGTCTTAAAAATATATTTGAAATATGCGTATTTTGTTTCTTAGACATAGTAAATAAAAAAAAAAGTTGCAGCTGTCATAATATGAAGTAAAGTTTACTGAGCCCTGTTGACCGTAACCCGTCAAGGGGAGGTTCCTGGACGTTGGTGAGAGGCTCTTGATCTCGGGAATTGGATCTGTGCTCCGGTTCCCTGAATTGAGCCTGCATACCTTCCACCCCCCCCCCCCATGCTCTGTATAATCCAACGGTTTTAGCGCTCCCCATGATTATATAATAATGTTGACCGTACGAGGGTCATTAAGCCGCAGGTCACATTTATACTTAATATCAAGAATGCTTAAAATTAAAAGTAGTAATTAATCAGTGTATTTTATATACACGAGATAGAGTACGCTTGTGTGTACATGTACTGCACGTTATAGCCTGGCCAGGACTCAGCAAGAGGACAACCGTGGTAAAGGAAGTGGTTACTTCTGCAATGTTGCTGGGTGTGGCGACACCCGCAAATGTCTTGTGGATATTTCGTTGAAGTCTCCATATATCATACCGTTATGAACTTCACCTCCTGAACAGTCCTTGAATAAAACCAAGTGCCGTGTTTCAATGTGTTTAGCGTTAAGTACATTATATTACTGTTATAACAAACTTAAAACGGGAAATAAGTTGGCAGTGTTAGCTGCTATGAGGTGAACGGATGGGACAATGTGAGCCATAATCACTGTGGTGGAGGGTGTGCGTCTGTCATGTATAACCCCCCCAACACCCCACCACTTGGTCACTAAGGCCAGGTGAGAACCACCACCCTTGACCACTATCCCTCGTTTTATTTAAACCCCCCCCCCAACACCCCACCACAGAAAATCACTCCCTACGAAAGTAAAAGACTGGGCAGGCGATGCAAAATGCCCCCAATAAAAAGTAGGGGCGCCATTGGTACACTAAGGGAAAACAAGTAAGTGTCCGGGGCCCAAAACTGTTCAACAGCCTCCCATCAAGCATTAGGGGAATTGCCAATAAACCCCTGGCTGCCTTTCAAGAGAGAGCTGGACAGATACCTAAAGTCAGTGCCGGATCAGCAGGGCTGTGGCTCGTACGTTGGACTGCGTGTGGCCAGCAGTAACAGCCTAGTTGATCAGGCCCTGATCCATCGGGAGGCCTGGTCGTGGACCGGGCCGCGGGGGCGTTGATTCCCGGAATAACCTCCAGGTAACCAGGTAACCCCTTGGTCACTAAGGCCAGGTGAAAGCCACTTACCCTCACCACTATCCTCGTTATGTATAACCCCCCCCCAACACCCCACCACTTGGTCACTAAGGCCAGGTGAGAACCACCACCCTTGACCACTATCCTCGTTATGTATAACCCCCCCCAACACCCCACCACTTGGTCACTAAGGCCAGGTGAGAACCACCACCCTTGACCACTATCCTCGTTTATGTATAACCCCCCCCCCCCAACCCCCCACCACTTGGTCACTAAGGCCAGGTGAGAACCACCACCCTTGACCACTATCCTCGTTATGTATAACCCCCTCCCCCCCCAACACCCCACCACTTGGTCACTAAGGCCAGGTGAGAACCACCACCCTTGACCACTATCCTCGTTATGTTATAACCCCTCCCCCCCCCCCCCAACCACTTGGTCACTAAGGCCAGGTGAGAACCACCACCCTTGACCACTATCCTCGTTATGTATAACCCCCCCAACACCCCACTACTTGGTCACTAAGGCCAGGTGAGAACCACTTACCCTCACCACTATCCTCTTACCTAAGAGACTACCTCAAACTATCCCCTCACTCACCATACAATCTATTATGCCTCATTTTTTCTGGAGATGTGTCATTCAAATACGTACTGTAATTGAATAATTGAAAGGTTGAGAAATGATGTTTTAAGGACTGGAGTTTTACTGTTTCTATCTGAAAATAACATTTGTATCAGAAAGGTTTAATATGAAGCTGCAAGGGTTATTTCATCCCCCCCCCCCACATACACTGTATAATCCTATGGGTTTAGCACTCCCCCATGATTATAATAATGCAAGGTTTATCTTTGTCATTGTCTAGATCTCCAAAATTAATGTTGCTTTCAGTGTCATTAAAACAAAAATATTCTGAAATGGTAGAGAATAGTTTTCTGAAGGTAATGATACCAAAAATACGCAATTTGATGGAAAACTCATTGAATAACTTATGCAGGTGCAAAGTTAGCAGTCTGGGTATAATTTGCGCATTGGCGAATTCACCCAATTTGAATCTTATTTTAAGCCAGTTCCATTGCTCCATTGGACCAGATTCTTTGCAATTTCACTAGTATGCCTCCCGTTATATCCATTAGACACAAGAAACCATGCATTCAAATATAACTACCCTAAAAATGTACAAAACTCTATAATTTGGTAAATTTTATACAAAATTAAAAAAAATAAATTTTAAAAATAGTCCGAAATAAACAATGTAGCCATAATTGACACTAAAATATTTTCTTTGTTTCATTAATCACATCTCCAGGCCTCTCCTATATTACACTTGCTTTCCATAATTATAACCGCAAAAAAATGAAGATTTATCTTTAATCTCTGATAATAAAATATAACTAGAAATGATTGGTCATGATTTACTTCATCCAAATAATCGAATCAGACCTATTAAAAACCCATAAAACAGACCGAGGGGAGAACATCTTTCTTGTGCTCAGGAGAATTGGCAAAAATCTAATATTTTCACTACTTTGAGCCCAATTTCAAGCAACTTTCCATCCTAACACAAAACAAAACCATCTCCATTTTGATAGTTTATCTTCCATCCTATCAAACGATACCAAGAAACAGTCAATAAAACTATAACTAACATCCTAGGCAACACCTCAAAGTAGCAGTTTTAAACCAGACTCGAGGTCAAAGTTTTGCTTTTCCCATCTTTTTGAGTAGTATGTAATAGATGTAAGAATGATCTGTTATGTATATCACTTTTACATCTGTTATGTAGTAACAGATTCTAGATATAAGAATGATCTACTACATAGACCATTCTTATATCTAGAATTTTTCCATTTTTTTTAATTGATATTTCAAGGTTAGAGTTTCTTAATGGGACAAATGTGGGGTATTTATATATACACTGTGCACACTCGCCGCACAGACCCATTCTCCAATATTTAAGCCAAAATTTGCAGCTCATAGCTTATCTGAGGAAGCTGTGCTCCGGATTCCGAAAGTAGACTTCTCTCAAAACTCATCGAAGGTATCAAGGCCATGTAATTATGTCCATAGTACATTTCTGGGTTTATAATCCTTTGCCCTCCAGTAATTTCTTCTTTCTAATACATCTATCTTCCATAAACAAAAATATAATTTTTTTAAAACTTTTGCTGCTTTTACTTCCTCAGGTTTATCAAGCGAGAGTGGTTTGCACTTTGGGGGGGGGACAGCCCCTGGTGATTGAGCTTGTGTGTCCTTGGAATGGTAGTAAACATCAAGCAGGAAGAACACTATAAATTACCACTATAAGATCTAGTAAAAGACCATCTTTGTTATTTGCCAAAGTGGAAAATTCTCACGCCAATCTACCTTTCCACTTCAGAGCTTCAGGTTAGTAAAAAATAAACTGTACCTTTAGGATTGTAAGCAATTTACAATAAACAATGCTTGTCTGGTAAAATGTGGTGTGTATAATAGTTACCAAAAATAACTCAAGGGAGGTTCCTTGATGTTGGTGAGAGGATCTTGATCCAGGGAATTGTACTTGTCCTCTCTTGGATCAAACCTGATTGTCTCTTGTCACCCAGGCAGTGTACAATTCTTACGTATTTAGTCCTTCCCCATACTACATTGTTATCTAAGTAATATTAGAGATTTACATAGGTTTTCTTTTGAGGTCCCAGTTTGGAAAAATGGGCATCCCCATTATTATTTTCATTAAATCTGCAGTTGTAATACACCACCTTGGGAATGGGAGACAATCAGGTTTGGTTCAAGGAAAAAATGAAGCTAGCTTCAATTATTATTACTGTTATCACATTCATTAGCGAGATGCTAAGCTTTTAGGGATGATGCAACTTGGGAAAATGTGAGATGATTACAGTAATTAGATTCAAGGGAAGGGTAGGTAAAATTCAGTGAATCAAGAACCCTTCACAGGCATTAAGTCATCTCCCATACCCCTCTCCCTGATAGGTTGGCATCCCCCAGTGTTGAAACAAAGCAGACCTAATAATGTACGCTATAAAGTATAACTTGACGGTGTATATACTCTCGGCTAACAAAATCAATTAAATTAGATACATTAGACATTACTGTGGCTAGGGAATGCACCTCTGATTATAATGCAGTTGATTATGGGGAAAACAGTTTCAAGAACTCTGCTCCCCCTCCAAAAAAAATTTTTTTTAGGGACACCTCAGTGTCATAAATTGGGATTACTGTACTGTTGTATCCTTTAGGTACGCATTTTTTTAATTTTCAAAAATTAGTATAATATTCATATGAATGCTAAAACCTTTAGGGGTCATATAATGCTTAGGGAATGGGAAGAAATCAGGTTCAACCAAAGGAAAAGGATCAGGGAACCTCCCTTGAAATGAGGGCATTGATTTCTTGATTTATCAGTTTCCAATAAGAGCCAGCTATCATTGATACTGTTTCCCCAAATGTGGTTTGTCTACATCATATAATAGTGTATAGTAGCTAAATTTTTTCTTCTCTCGCAATAGTTTGATAGTAAGCCATGGAAACAGCCTTCAGCAACTATCATATGTTCAGATATATTATTACTGTATTGTAATGTATACTTTCAAAATAATCTTGTTGACAGTCAGTGTGCCTTTCATTAGTCTATGAATCTACTCAACCAACAGTAGTACTTTTATTATCATAACTAAGTGCTTAACCCGTAAGGGCCACCTACAGTAGTAAAATTTATAATCAAAATATTTTATTGTGTATGGTCCTAGCAACAAAGTTCATGAAAGTAATATTTGTCTGGCAGTAGTAGTGATGGCACCAAAGATTGAAGGGATAGACAACGAGAGTGGTGAAGACTCTTCTAATGGGAGCTCAACCTCTCGTCGGCCAATCAAAAGTACTGAGGAATACCGGAAGTTAGTGTACAGCTCCTTTTCTGAGTAATGTGCTAATAGTACAGTAATGTAACTAATCTATGCTGATTATTTTGAAGTTGAAAATTTAATAATTATGTAATGTTTTCTGAATTTTGATAATTTACGTAAAATGTGTTTTCTCAGGCGTCGTGAGCGCAACAACCAGGCTGTAAAAAAGTCACGCATGAAGACAAAAATGAAGACCCAACAAATGGTGGAAAAGGTCACACAATTAAAGAATGAAAATGAGGAACTAGAAGAGAACATAAAGATCCTCAATAAAGAATTAGACATGCTTAAGTCTATTTTTGTTGCTCATGCAGGTTTGTAGAGAAAATTTGTTGTGGATTTTGAAGGATCAATAGTATTAGTATGCCCCCTTATATTCATAAGGGGAGCACTAAACCCATAGGGGCTCATACAGTTTGTTTCTTCTTACTTTAATTACTAGGAAGCTCAAAACCCATAGAAATCACACAGTACATGTACTTGGAAGTAGTCTGGCTCAATCCAAGAAAGGAGTGGATAAGTTCAGTTCCTTGGATCAAGATCCCCTTACAAACATCAAGGGAGTGGTCATACAGCACCTAGAGAAATAGGAGGCAATCTGATTAAATTGGTACCAAGGGATGGCAAGTTCAGTTCCTTGGATCAAAAGCACCTAACAGTTATTAGAGGAACCTCCTCTGAGAGTTAAAGGTTCAATAATTATACAGTACAAAACCAAGGATCCTAACTTTTAAAAGTGCCCAAAATGCTCTATATATAAACAAGGGCTTTGCATCGTGCATGAAATGTCGTTTGTCTCGCTCACACACAATTTATTTTTTGCAAGTTTTTTCCCAAGGTTTAAAAATGTCTTGTAATCCTGAAATGATTATCTTGTAGAAAATGATAAAACTAAGAATAGTCGTCTTAATTGTAGTCGCATGCATAATAATTTTTCAATAGATATTGCATTACTGGATTTCCTGTGCAGGGTAATATTTAGTGAAGGGATTCAGGGAAACCGGTTATTTTTATACAGCTGGACTTGAGTCCTGGAAATGGGAAGTACAATACCTGCACTCTAAAGTAGGGGTTTCGGGATATTAGCAGTTTGGAGGGATATGTTGTCTCTTTATACGTATATGCTTCTAAACTGTTGTGTTCTGAGCACCTCTGCAAAAACAGTGATTATGTGTGAGTGAGGTGAAAGTGTTGAATGATGATGAAAGTATTTTCTTTTTGGGGATTTTCTTTCTTTTTGGGTCACCTTGCCTCGGTGGGAGACGGCCGACTTGTTAAAAAAAAAAAAAATGTAAGTTAGGCATCCCTGTATTGTATTGGCAAACTTATAACATGACCAAAGTTTTGAAAGGATAATTTATGAATACATTCCTTTTACTGAACTGATGACTAAAAATTTACATAGTTTAGAAGTTATTCGCATTTAATTTTATACTCACATTTATCTTTACAACCAGGAAATGCTCATGGTGTGCAAGTGAATGATGCTGAGTTAAGCAGGATGCTGGGCGGGAGCCCTGAGGTGGATGAAGGTGCGTCCCTCTTGATGAGCCTTTCCCAGGCCCCCCCCCATAACTTGGCTTAAACAAAAGCCTCACATGAACCAATGACAACACACAAGCCTTCATGGAAGCTCTTCCAAGTGAGGCAGTAATTGATCTCTGATGCATAGTCTTGTTCTTTTCCAGCAACAAAAGCACAAGAACCAAAATTACTTAGTCAAGTTTACTAAGTAGTAAAGCTCAAGAATATTTTAAGTATTGTTTCCCATGGAAATACTTGTATGATTAATTGGCTGTGTAAGGCTGGAAAATAAAATATTATGCACAGCTATCATAAAGCCATACCTATTGTACCTGGATACATTGTCACAGCATCTCTTGTGACTGCTTCAAATTTTACATTGTCAGTGTTACAGTATTGTGGCTTCACTGAATTTGTCATATATAATGACTGACTTTAGACTTCTTCCATTAATATTCCTCTTCTTATGGGTATCTCTGCCATGCAGTGCTTAATGACCCTCATGGGTTTTGCACTTTCATGAATATTATTCTATTAATATTGTGAAACTAAAATGTTTAGAACTAATGTTGTAATGGCATTTTCTTTTACAGATTAAGTGCCAATATTATAATTCTTAAAGGAAATTAATTGAGTGCTATATATATTAGGATCTCCAAATAGCCCATATATGAAACGGTTCTGCCTTCTAATGCTCTCTCTACTTCACAAGTCACTTTTTAAAGATAAAGCTTTTTATATTAGTTTACAGTACGTATACAAATTTGTGATGTCCAGAATGGCTGGTTAATATTCTTACTTCATTTATTTATATGAACAAAACATTAAAAAAAAAATGCTTTTGCAGTGTTTACCAATGACCACTGGGTTTGTATTTAAATGCTGTATGCCATTACTTTTAGTAAAGGTTTAAGTATGACTTATAAATTTTTGCAGGCATCATATTTTACTCAGGGGACCCAGCAACCTAAGTGGTGAACCTCATTCTTCTCCATTACATTAAATATTTCAATCCTTGAGAAATTATAATAAAATGCTAGTGTTTAGGAATTAAGAATGCTTCTTGAAAAAAAAAAGTCTTGCATACCACCTTCAGCTACACTGAATGAAATGGCATATTGCCAAGTATAAAGATGAAGTTGAAGAATAAGCTTTTATTTGGTCAAGGTTTCACTGTTTAGAGCTTGTCGCTATAAGAAACACCCCAATAAATGCTTGTTCTGTAACTATTATTGAACTTCATTAACATGGAATTATACGTGCTCGCAAATTACTTGTAGTATTACTGAAGCAAGGGAATGATGATTGCCATTTCATTACTTCATGACATTTAAACTGGGATGATCATTGATAATACATTAATAGTATATTAATAATGATCCTGTTCATGAAAAAAGGGCCTTAATGTCCAACACTTAAGGAAGTACAAACTACCAACACAGTAATTAGAAGTCATAGTTGCCCCATTTTTTTATACATAAACAGTTTAGTTCAGTGCACCTTCACCAATATCTTTAAGAGTTTCATTAATACACTGGGAAATTTGTTAGAGTAAAATGTGTTGTATTATGTAACTAGTAAATGCATGGAGTCTTGCTACTTAGCACCTGCATTGTTGTGTACATTTAGCTTCAAGCCTGTTACTGGGTGTGTGTGATTCTTTGCCATATTAAAACACAAAATATAGTCTTTTGAGTTTGGGTTTTGGTAAGATTAGTGGTCATATTTTCACCTTTTATTTCAAAAAAGTTTTTAGTGCCCCAGATGCTCAGAGAACCAGAATTTTTTATTTCATATATTCTATAGAATGTGGAGTTGCAAAACTCTCTTAAGTGTTTGTGGGAATCATGATTTTAAAACTAAAATGTTTTTTTAAATATTGTCTAAAGTACAAAGTAAACAACTTTCACAATCTCTGTTTTCTTTCCTTTTTGTTGTAGGTGCCTGGTGAACAGTTAGTAGATAGAGGTTGTTTGTATTATAAAATATTTGTAGAAAGAAAATGGAAAAAGCTATAGAACATTTACTGTAAATGAATTTATATTTTGTCCTTTACACATGGTAAAGCCTTTGGATAAAGCTTTATCAAATCATACAGAGAATAATGTGAGAGGTAAGCAAATGGTGAAGTAAAGTAGGAGGGTCAGGTGTCATTTGTGACAGTGATGTGTGGATGTTAGCATCACCTCTGCCTTTTTAGTTTTCTAAGATAAGTTTGTTAAGTGGGTTGATAATGTTAAATTTTCCTTGACTACAAAAGTGTTGGAGTTCTGTGCATGGCCAGTCCAGGAGGTGTGCATTTTGGTGTCTGTATAACAGGCACTGTTCTGACAGTTTTGCATACATAATTATGGTCAAGGATTTTGCTTGTTGGTTGCATAGGCAAACATGTAAAACTTGCAACTGTAATATCCATATTACACATAACAGACAAACATGCACACCTCTTACACTGGTCACATACAGAACATCAAGAAGAAAATGACAAGGCCTCCTACCCTCTTAGAGAAGGATCAAAGAGCATTTAGTATTGCCAAGCTTGTCTCACACAGGAAGCCGCAAGTACACGTGATGCCAATACTCACACACATCACTGCCACAGATGATGCCTAACCATAACTTTCTTAGTTCCATCATTCACCTTATCTTTATGTAATGTAATGTATTACTCCTTGTATGACTTGATAAAGCTCTATCCAGAACAAAATGTCTATAAAAATATTCTTTCTACTATATTTGTTGATAATACATACTGTACTTGGAACTGCAGGAAATCAATGTGTACAACTGTGATTTGATGATACATCAGTAAAGAAGTCTGACTGTAAAAGAACATAACCAGAAACAAGAAATCTGACTGCATTACACAATTTATGTTCTTGTAAACAAATACAAACAGGGAAACCAATATTTGGAACTAGTTTCCCCTATATCTTGCACTGTTCCACAGTGAAACTGACACTAATAATACAGTGGCAGGAAGTAAAGGCATAAGAACATAAGAAGGAACACTGGAACAGGCCTACTGGCCTATGCAAGGCAGGTCCAATTCTAACACCGGCTTAAGCTCACTGACCGTCTAACCTCACTGACCTAGCGAGGTCAGACACATCACTTCAGGGAGGAGCACAGCATCCGACCTAGTAGCACAAGCTAGTTCGGTCCAACCCACACCCACTCATGTATTTATCCAACCTATTTTTAAAGCTACACGTCTTAGCTTCTATGATGGTACTCGGGAGTTTGTTCCGCTCATCCACAACTATTACCAAACCAGTGCTTTCCTATATCCTTCCTGAATCTGAATTTTTCCAATTTAAAACCATTGCTGTGAATCCTGTCTACGTTAGATATTTTTAGCACACTATTTACATCCCCTTTATTAATTCCTGCTTTCCATTTATACACTTCAATCATCTCCTCCCTAATTCTACACCTTTCTAGAGAATGCAGATTCAGGGCCCTCAGTCTATCCTCACAGGGAAGATTTCTGATACATGGGATCAACTTTGTCATCCTCCTTTGTACATTTTCCAGTGCATTTATATCCATTCTGTAATACGGTGACCAAAACTGTGCAGCATAATCTAAATGGGGCCTAACCAAGGATATATAGAGTTGAAGAACAACCTAAGGACTTCTATTATTTATACTTCTTCCTATGAAGCCAAGGATTCTGTTAGCTTTATTGCGAACATTTATGCACTGTTGTCTTGGTTTCAGATTACTACTAACCAGAACTTCTAAATCCTTTTTGCAATCCATATTATTAAGATCTACATTATTTAGTTTATATGTGGCATGGTTATTTTCCTGTCCAACATTTAGAACTTAGCATTTGTCTACATTAAACTGCATCTGCCACTAATCTGACCACTGCATCAGTCTATTCAAATCATCCTGGAGTGCTCTAATGTCCTCATTAGAAAGAATTGGACGGCCTATTTTGGTGTCATCAGAAAATTTGCTTATGTCACTAATTATTCCCTCATCTATGTCGTTTATGTAGATTATGAACAACAAGGGGCCCAACACTGACCCCTGTGGAACGCCGCTTGTGACGTGCCCCCATTCTGATTTCTCCCCATTTACGCAAACTCTCTGCTGCCTATTTGTCAACCATGCCTCTACCCAGAAAAAAAATTCTCCTCCTATTCCGTGTGTCTTAAGTTTTCTCAACAGCCTCTGATGTGGAACTCTATCGAAAGCCTTACTGAAGTCCACATACACAATATCATATTCAATACCATGATCTACCTCCTCAAATACCTTAGTGAAGAAAGTTAATAAATTCATAAGACAGGAACGCCCCTCTGTAAAACCGTGCTGAGATTCATTAATCGATATATGCCTTTCAAGATGGCTACAAACTGCTTCGGCAATTATTGATTCCATAAATTTACCAACTATGAAAGTAAGGCTTATTGGTCTATAGTTCGAAGCTAAGGACCTGTCACCTGCCTTGTAAATGGGTATTATATTTGCCATTTTCCACTTGTCTGGCACTATGCCAGTTTGCAGTGATATATTGAAAGATTAGCATAGTAATAAGGAATTTGTGTATAGTATGGTTCTGTGCCACGAGCAGCGTCCATGTTAGATGAAAGTGTAGGTGGTAAAGCCTTAACAGTAAGAGGTATGGTTTCGAGATTGGGATGCTTGTAAGTGCACTGTGGTGGTAAATCACAGACCTAACTTTTGGGATTAACTGCAGTACTGATTATTGAATTTTTTTTTTTTTTTCTAGGAACTGGTTCAATTGACATTTTAAATTTTTTAACACTAGCCATCTTCCACCAAAGTAGAGTGACCCAAAATAGAGGAAAAGCTTTCAGTCTCATTTGTTCAATCATTTTCTTGCCAGAAGCATTCTGACATTATAGTCCAGATGACCTAAACTGCAACATTCCCACCACTCTTTCACAGTGCAGGCACTGTCAGAGGTTAATGTAATTACCTCTGTCCTCCAGAACACAAGTTTGGCTAACCGTTTTTTACCTGAATCTCTTCATATTATTATAATCATGGAGTGCTAAACCCATAGGATTATACAGCTCATGTGGGGGACGGGGGGAATGGAAGGTATTCAGGTTCAATTCAGGGAACCGGAGCACAGACCCAATTCACTAGATCAAGAGTCCCCCCTCTTCAGCGTCAAGGAACCTCCCTCGAGGGGTGAATCTCTTCGTAAATGTTACATCTGCTTACACTCCAACAGCATGTCAAATCATTAAAACCACTTCCCTCCACTCATATCTAACACACTTGCATGAGCCTGCTGGATGTCCAAATCCCTAGCACTCAAAACCTTTATCCCCTCCTTCCAGCTTTTCCTTAGACAACCCTCACTCTTCCTTCCCTCAACTCCAGATTTATGCACCCCTCTGTCAACCTATTTTGATGCATTCTTTCTTGATGGCCAAACCACCTTAACAACCTCTCAATCCTCTGAATAACATTTTTGGTAATCCCATACCTTTTAATCTCCAAGCTCTGAATTCTCTACATAATATTCATACCACACATTGCCCTCAAATTTAATATCTCCATCCTCCAGCTTTCTCCTTGTTGCAATGTTTGAAACCAATGCTTCACACCCATATAATAGTGTTGGTACCACTATACTCTGGTATATTCCCCTATTTGCTTCCTTGGATATTTTTTTTTTTTGTCTCCCCAAATGCTTCAATGCACCACCCACCTTTTTTGCTTAACTAATTCTATGGTCCACTTTACCTTTCACTGACTTGTCTGCCAACAAGTCCATGGCCAGTGTTAAAAAAAAAAAAAATATTCCTGCCACACTCCCTTCCAATCTGATATTCAGTCTTCTACATTTAATCTTTCTTTTACATACCCTCTCAAAATCATCTGCCAACTATTACATCATCTTCAGAATCTCCCAGAAGAACTGTCATCAGCAAAATGCAACTGTGACAACTCCCAATTTGTTTCACATTTGCTATCTTTTAATCCCACACCCTCATCTTAGTATTCACTTCTTTTACATGAACAAATTTTACAAATGTAAGATTATGCCAAAAATGGTTGACCTAAATGACTTAAAATTAGGACCAAGTGTTAGGCCTATTGTAATAATCAAACTGGAGCACAGTCCAGAAAACAATCACATATATTAGGCTATTATACAATAGATCAAATAAATACAAAGTGAGCAGGGAACCATTCTACTTTTTTTCCCACAAGATATCAACTGGTTTGCATGCAGACTGCGGCAGCCTAATTATTTAGGCCTAGACTTTAATAGGAGGGTAGAAGATATGAGCCTATGCAACTGCAATACCAGAATGCATGAAAATACTGATAACTTAAGATTTTTTTGATAAAATCTGAAAGACACTTACACCTATCATAAGCTATCAGTTGGTTAATAACTTTGGAATAGAACTATGGCCTGATAGCCTAATACCTCTGTAGGCTGCCTTTAACTTATTATGATAATCTGTCAGCATTTCTCAGTTTTTTTTTTAACCTCACCAACCATCTCAAACCAAAGTAGGGTGAGCAAAAAAAAAAAAAAAACGTTCATCATGAATTCATGATCATGTAAACTCATTACTATTGCTCTGAATTCGATTTTACTGTAACTTGCTTAGCAAACACAAATTTGTGGTTTAGTCCCTTAACCCATTATGTACCTCTATAATCCCTTACTGCCCATAAAATGGGTATGAGAGGCATAATAAAGCTACCAACCTAAACCCATCATACATCCAATGACCCTCCAAACAGCAACATTTACATATACAGTAATACCGTGTATAATACAATTTTTAACAGTGCAGTAGTGAATTGCATTACTCACTGCAGTAAGGAGCACACACACAGGGAATGTGTGGGATACAGGCAGCATGCCAAGACATGCTTTACTATATTTCAGCTTTGGTGCAGAAAAGTCATGGTTGCTCTAAATTTTTTTATACTTTTTATTAGATACAAGTACACCTACCATCCGACTTACGACCTGCTCAACTTACGACCACTCGACTTACGACCGTGTTGTTTATGCCAAATTTCTGGGAAATAAACAACTATTTGTGTTGTACACAGTGTTTATCCTAAACCTTACAGTATAAAATACAGTACTAACAGCATAAAAAGTAAAGTAACACATGAAATACCAAAATAAAACAATAAAATAAAGTCATTACAAAAATGTTTTGTTGATATTCAGTAGTAAAGTTCGACTTACGACCGGTTTCTCGGAACCGAACTCGGTCGTAAGTCGGATGGTAGGTGTACTTTTTTATATGCAATTATGAATGGGAAGAGGAAATGCAATGAAGCTTGTGAACCTAACAAACATAAATGGTTAACACTACAACAAAAAACTGAAGGAGGAGCATTGTATGCTGAAACAGCAACTCATTTCCATAAGACTAAAAGAAAATGGAGATCAAACTTTTTCTGCAAGTCATTGCAGGTTTTATAAGTTTAAAAAATGTATGGGGCTCAATAACATTCAAATTGTAGGGTAAAGTGCTAGATAATGCTGATAGTGCTAAAAAATTTCCTAATGAGTTGAAAGAAATAACTAAAAAAGGAGGCTACAAGCATGAACAAATTTTTTATGTCGACAAGATAGGTTTGTTTTGGATGCTATCATGAACTTATTTAGCACATTATAACTGTTTTAAACAGTGTGGTTTTTACAAAGCACAGAACTTTTTTCAGCACCTATTAACTGTACTATGCAAGGTATTCCTGTACTTAAAATTTTTTAGGGAGGCTGGCAGCTGCCACTTTTGCTTCCCCAAAGACTACAGGCCTTTATGAGTGTTAGTAACAATTTTTACCAATGGATTATATTAATCTTCAGTGGCAACTGGTAATCACTAAGCACCATATAAGAGCCACTATTATAAAAGATACAAAACACAAACCTGGTGACCTTATTCCTGTGCTTCTCTCCACCCTCAGTAGCACCAATTTTCCCAATCCTGTCACCTTACCAGTAAAAAAAAAAGTATTGAATTTTAATCAGTACAGTGGACCCCCGCATAACGATGGCATCGCATAGCGATTTTTCCGCATAACGATTACTTTTATCGCAAAATTTTTGCCCCGCATACCGATTAAAAACCCGCATACCGATTTTCGTCCGAGACGCGTCCAATGTGCCCTCACATGTGCCGGCCGTCCCATTGTTTACCAGCCAGCCTCCGCGGTAACATCCAAGCATACACTCGGAATATTTCGTATTATTACAGTGTTTTCGGTGGTGTTTCTGGAAAATAAGTGACCATGGGCCCCAAGAAAGCTTCTAGTGCCAACCCTGTGGTAAAAAGGGTGAGAATTAGTATGGAAATTAAGAAAGATTTTGAAGGGTTTGGGGCTAACCCTGAGAAGCCTATGCCAGTTGTGGAATCCATTGTGCCTACTTCAAAGATTAAGGAAATGTGTGCAGAGTGGTTTGTACTGCAAACCTTTATAGATGAAAATCACCCCTGACACAGCTGTTGCAAGCCGTGCTTGTGACTATTTCAATGACAATGTTATGGCCCATTTTAGGAAAGTCTTGAAGAAACGGGAGGTACAGAGCTCTATGGACAGATTTGTTGTGCGACAGAGGTCCAGTGACTCTGAAGCTGGTCCTAGTGGCATTAAAAGAAGAAGGGAATTAACCCAGAAAAGGACTTGCTACCTCAAGTCCTAATGGAAGGGGATTCCCCTTCTAAACAGTAAGAAGATAATGCTCTCCCCTCCTCCCATCCCATCAATCATCACCAGATCTTCAATAAAAGTAAGTGTCATGTAATTGTGCATGCCTTTTTCAGTTTGTGTGTATTAAAATTAACATTTCATGTGGTAAAAAAAATTTTTTTTCATACTTTTGGGCGTCTTGCACGGATTAATTTTATTTCCATTATTTCTTATGGGGAAAATTAATTCGCATAACGATTATTTCGCATAACGATGAGCCCTCTTGCACGGATTAAAATCGTTAACCGGGGGTCCACTGTATTCCTAAAATTGAGAAAATGGTTACCAGAGATATTGGTTATAATAAAAAACAATTGCAATTTCATCATGGTTGATCAACACTTTTATTGATAAGGTAATTAGGGGAATCTTGTCTTTTAATCTAGAAAAATTAGTAAGGTTGAAAAGCTTAACAAAAATATCAGTACTATGAATTAATGACTTGTTTTAATATGTCAAACTGCAGTACACAGTAGGTGCATTCCAGACCCATGACAGCTGTGCTAAGCTCAAGCTGGCTATCAACACAATATAAATTACAGATCATCTGTACAGTATGATAAAGACCTATGTCAGGAAATACACTTCCTGTTTCCTGACAAATAAAACAATGAACAAAATTAACCCTTACACCATCAGTCATATATATCATGGAGTTCAGTGTCACTTATGTAGATCTACTTCATAATCACAGTGCCCTTAAATTTGCTCTGATCAGTAAATTTTGGCCTAGACATAAGAGGATGGGTCTGTGTGGTGGTTGTGTATAGTATAAAAAAAAATCCTACCCTATGCAAAGCATGAGAGGAACAGCTAATGTCTGATATTGTTTTCTTTAAACAATCAACTCGAAGCATTTTCCTGGGTGGGTTGCATGGTTTTATTGGCTGTTTCTTGGTACCAACTGATAGACCAGAAGACCTACTAATGATCAGTTTCAGACCAGAACGAACCTGAAATAAGCCTCAAAGTGGCAGAAATATTTACTTTTTGGAAATTTTCCCCAGGAAGGGTAAACACTCCCCAATCCCATTCCCCCGGTATGTTTTATTGGTTTCTCCTAGGTCTGCTTCAATTATTGGGATAGCCAAAAGTATGGTAAGCATTCTTGGTTATATTTTATTAGCCGAGAAATAGGGTAAAATCTTTATTTTTTGTGTGATGATGGATTCAAAATAGAGGACAAGTGTTATGTAGGAGAGATCTGGGAATGTGATTAATGAACAGATGATAGGCTGCTCTAGTGGCTGGAGAAGCGCTGTATGACCCTAGTAGGTTTAGCGCTTCTTTTTGATCATAATAATACATATTGATCATAATAATATTGGCAGTTTGGAGGGATATGTTGTGTATCTTTATATGTGTATGCTTCTAAACTGTTGTATTCTGAGCACCTCTGCAAAAACAGTGATAATTTGTGAGTGAGGTGAAAGTGTTGAATGATGATGAAAGTATTTTCTTTTTGGGGATTTTCTTTCTTTTTTGGGTCACCCTGCCTCGGTGGGAGACGGCCGACTTGTTGAAAAAAAAAAAAAATAATCTAGTAGCTGAAATGCCTACAGTATTTCTTTTGCACTATTTTTAAATTGGAACAAGTTGAATTTTGTGCAAAATTTGCCAAATTACTGATTTCTGGGCAGCTTCTTGTGCTCAACAGTAAGGAAAGCATAGTAATGAAATAGATAATAAGTGGGTTGGTTGGAGCACTGTACTTGGCACATATCTGGCTTCATTAGGGTGAAATCCAGTTGCTCCTCAACCACTTAATGTTAGAAAAGGATTCTCTACCATTTTAGAAGATACAATACTTGTTTTTAAAATGACAACTTTTAATTTCGAGGGTTATTACAGGCAGTAATTTCATGCACTGGTCAGGGAGGTATACCATCTTTTAGGAGTGAAAAAGAGCAGAATGTAAGTGTGGGGGAGGTACGTGAGGCATTACGTAGAATGAAAGGGGGTAAAGCAGCTGGAACTGATGGGATCATGACAGAAATGTTAAAAGCAGGGGGGGATATAGTGTTGGAGTGGTTGGTACTTTTGTTTAATAAATGTATGAAAGAGGGGAAGGTACCTAGGGATTGGCAGAGAGCATGTATAGTCCCTTTATATAAAGGGAAAGGGGACAAAAGAGACTGCAAAAATTATAGAGGAATAAGTTTACTGAGTATACCAGGAAAAGTGTACGGTAGGGTTATAATTGAAAGAATTAGAGGTAAGACAGAATGCAGGATTGCAGATGAGCAAGGAGGTTTCAGAGTGGGTAGGGGATGTGTAGATCAAGTGTTTACATTGAAGCATATATTTTTTTTTTTTATTATCACACTGGCCGATTCCCACCAAGGCAGGGTGGCCCGAAAAAGCATATATGTGAACAGTATTTAAATAAAGGTAGGGAAGTTTTTATTGCATTTATGGATTTAGAAAAGGCATATGATAGAGTGGATAGAGGAGCAATGTGGCAGATGTTGCAAGTATATGGAATAGGTGGTAAGTTATTAAATGCTGTAAAGAGTTTTTATGAGGATAGTGAGGCTCAGGTTAGGGTGTGTAGAAGAGAGGGAGACTACTTCCCGGTAAAAGTAGGTCTTAGACAGGGATGTGTAATGTCACCATGGTTGTTTAATATATTTATAGATGGGGTTGTAAAGGAAGTAAATGCTAGGGTGTTCGGGAGAGGGGTGGGATTAAATTTTGGGTAATCAAATTCAAAATGGGAATTGACACAGTTACTTTTTGCTGATGATACTGTGCTTATGGGAGATTCTAAAGAATTGATGAGGGATGCGTGAGCGTGTTTGATAGGAGTGAATGGAGACAAATGGTTTTTAATACTTGACGTGCTGTTGGAGTGTGAGCAAAGTAACATTTATGAAGGGGTTCAGGGAAACCGGCAGGCCGGACTTGAGTCCTGGAGATGGGAAGTACAGTGCCTGCACTCTGAAGGAGGGGTGTTAATGTTGCAGTTTAAAAACTGTAGTGTAAAGCACCCTTCTGGCAAGACAGTGATGGAGTGAATGATGGTGAAAGTTTTTCTTTTTTGGGCCACCCTGCCTTGGTGGGAATCGGCCATTGTGATAATATAATATAAAAATGTAAAGGTAGAAAGTTGAAAGTGAACATAGAAAAGAGTAAGGTGATGAGGGTATCAAATGATTTAGATAAAGAAAAATTGGATATCAAATTGGGGAGGAGGAGTATGGAAGAAGTGAATGTTTTCAGATACTTGGGAGTTGACGTGTCGGCGGATGGATTTATGAAGGATGAGGTTAATCATAGAACTGATGAGGGAAAAAAGGTGAGTGGTGCATTGAGGTATATGTGGAGTCAAAAAACGTTATGTATGGAGGCAAAGAAGGGAATGTATGAAAGTATAGTAGTACGAACACTCTTATATGGGTGTGAAGCTTGGGTGGTAAATGCAGCAGCGAGGAGACGGTTGGAGGCAGTTATGTCCTGTTTAAGGGCAATGTGTGGTGTAAATATTATGCAGAAAATTCGGAGTGTGGAAATTAGGAAAAGGTGTAGAGTTAATAAAAGTATTAGTCAGAGGGCAGTAGAGGGGTTGTTGAGGTGGTTTGGTCATTTAGAGAGAATGGATCAAAGTAGAATGACATGGAAAGCATATAAATCTATAGAGGAAGGAAGGCGGGGTAGGGGTCGTCCTCGAAAGGGTTGGAGAGAGGGGGGTAAAGGAGGTTTTGTGGGCAAGGGGCTTGGACTTCTAGCAAGCGTGCGTGAGCGTGTTAGATAGGAGTGAATGGAGACGAATGGTACTTGGGACCTGACGATCTGTTGGAGTGTGAGCAGGGTAATATTTAGTGAAGGGATTCAGGGAAACCGGTTATTTTCATATAGTCGGACTTGAGTCCTGGAAATGGGAAGTACAATGCTTGCACTTTAAAGGAGGGGTTTGGGATATTGGCAGTTTGGAGGGATATGCTGTGTATCTTTATACGTATATGCTTCTAAACTGTTGTGTCCTGAGCACCTCTGCAAAAACAGTGATTATGTGTGAGTGTGGTGAAAGTGTTGAATGATGATGAAAGTATTTTCTTTTTGGGGATTTTCTTTCTTTTTTGGGTCACCCTGCCTCGGTAGGAGACGGCCGACTTGTTGAAAAAAAAAAAAAAAAAAAAATTACAGTGAAAGGGTTAATTTGGCATAATACGAATCTTAAATGCATTTTGTGACCTGTACTGACTGAGCACAATAAATGTATATTCCACACAGAATTACCAACAGAAATATGCCATTGTTTAACTGGAAATTCACAAGAAGCAAAGAAAACCTGAATGCAAGGAAAGCCAAGTAAATTTCAATAGTAGTAGGGTATTAAATATAGGAGGTAAAAACTAAGCATAAAGGTATGAATAATAAAGTACATATCTGAGTCATAAAAGGTAGAAACCAGATTAACAGACAAAGGGTCTATCCTCCACCACTCCTTACACTGTTAGATAAAAGGACACAAGTGCAACTAATATGACATTTTATTGTGGCAACGTTTCGCTCTCCAGGAGCTTTGTCAAGCCAGTACAATAAAATGTCACGTTAGTTGCACTTGTGTCCTTTTACCTAACATATTGTTGATAATTCTACCAACATTAATACACTCCTTACACTGAATGACCCCTACAGGTACAGCCCTTCATGAAAAAATGAAATAAGTTGTCTGAGAGTCAATAAGTCACCAAAACTAGATGAATCAGGTTAAGAAATGGTGCTGAAGTACGAAAAGTAGGTGATGAAGGAGAGAACAAGATGAGCAGATAAGGTGAGGGGATGAAGATGGTAAAATGTGTCTTGTGTTCAGCAGTACATGCAGAAGAACAAGAACAATTACCCAAAAATATGTAAAATAAACACCTTGTGCAAACAAAATATAACAATTCACTGGTTTAATAATAATTATTAAATGTTTTGGACAGTAGCTGCTTGCAAACTCACTTTCTAGTAAAAAACGAAGTAATGCTTTTAGATCCTGATGCAGACTTTGCTAAAGCCTTAGCTTTAGCTGTCTGTGGACTCTTCACCTGGAAAAAAAAAAAAAGATTAGTATTTGTGATCATATTTATGGGGAAGTGCCAAACCCACAGGGATCAACAGCACCTGGGAAATGAAAGGTAATCAGTTCAGATATGAGGAAGTGGAGGATGAATCTGGTTCACTAGATACAAAGACTTTCACCGGCATCAAGATAAAAAAAAAAACGCAGTATCGGCAAGACAGTGATGGAGTGGGTGACGACGAAACTGTTTCTTTTTTTTCCGGGTCACCCTGCCTTGGTGGGAAATGGCTGATGTGTTAATAAAATAATAATTAAAGGGTTATACAGTACATGGAGAATGGGAGGTAATCAGGTTTAATCCAAGGAAGAAGGAAGCATTAACTCCATGGATCAAGAGCCCTCCACCAGCATCAAAGAATCCTCTTTTCCCTGCCTTCCTCCTCCATGGGTCTGAGCATTTCAAAATTGTAAACTAAGTATTTAATCTCCCACTGCACTGCCAAACAGGAGGAAAAAGAATACGACAGTCCTTGACCTTCACAACCTCAATCCAACACCTAATGGCTTTTTTTAACCCCTTCACTGTGCGAGATTTTGAATTTTTAGCTCACTTGTGTGTGGCAAATTTGAAAAAAAAGTTTGAGAGCAGAAAAAAAAAAAACCTTGTCAGGTATCGGTGACCTCGCTTATATGTGATCTCACCCGTACTTGATTTTCCATTTTCATTCCTTGGGGTGCTTGCTTGCCTTACGAGGCAGCTTATCCGCTTATTCCTTTACAAAGTCTTAAAAGAAATTCTGCTACCAGCATCTTTATTTCCAAATGTCAGTTTCTGCCAATTGTCTATGTACACAGTTTCTTATAATATTACGCATGTTGAAATGTGTTCCAGTGCTTAAAAAATGGGAATATACTGTTTTAAGGGCAAAGGTAAGGTACATCTTTACAGCAGCAAAGGAAAGGTATATCTCTACAGCAGCAAAGGTGCATCTCTACAGCAGCACAGGTGCATCTCTATAGCAATAAAGGTGCATCTCTACAGCAGCAAAGGTACAACTTTACAGCAGTAGTGTCTTTCCACTGTCAAATCCAAGACTTCATTGAAACAACTGTACTAACCAATGTGTACTGGTAATAACTGTTTGTCCTACCCACAATAATCTTCACAAATGTCACATAAAAAAAATAACTGGAAATAATCTAGTTAATTAGCATAAGTTATTATTTAGGTTTTGTGTACTATACACAGTATACAAATATTTTTTCATGGGTCTTTAGGGCACACAGGTGTCACAGGCACATAAACAGCACACTTGTAGATTTAACCTAGGATAACCCAATAACATCAATATAACATCCCATTTGTTATCAGACAGCTTGGCTAAATTCCACCAATAGTATTGTTAAACAGTAATACAGTACAGTGGACCCCCGACTTACAATTGGCTCCCAACTCGAACAATTATGTAAGTGTATTTTTGTAAGTGCTTTTGTAAGTGTATTTTTGGAGGTCTGAAATGGACTAATATAATTTACAATATTCCTAATGGGAGCAAATTCGTTCGGTAACGGCACCTGAACAGCCTTCTGGAACGAAATAATATCCTAAGTCGGGGGTCCACTGTAAATCGAAACAGATAAAGGATCTTCCTGTCGTTGCCATACCCTATTTGCTGTACAGGTGCCTCCTAGCAACAAAATTCTCTTGTGTACATGTGCTACTGATGCAGCACTAACAATGATGCATTGTGTGGCAACATTTTCCTAAGCATAAGGTGGTGGTGGGCAATGAAAACAATTGAGACGAGGCCTAAAATGGTGGCACATGGCAAATATGTAGGCACGCACAAAAATTGTGTTTGCATGCGTCAGATAAATTTTGGTTCTCCTGTAGAAATTTACGTTGTGCACAGTTAAAAAGCTAAGAACTCTTTGGACAGGATAGAACATCAACAATATTATACCAGGGTACAATATAGTACTATTGCATTTTTTATAGGCCATGTACAATTCTTCTTCCAGATCACCCAGTGAGCATTAGATGAGGTCACTATATCTCAAATAAACACAATACACCACCAACTTATGACATTCATGTATGATGCATGTATATACATACTAATGTATTAGCGAGGCACCTACTCCACTATACATACTACCGACGTGTATATGCCATTATACTAGTGAAGTACATATTCCAGTGTACTAGTGAAGTACATATTCCACTGTACTAGTGAAGTACATATTCCATTGTGCTAGTGAGGTACATATTCCTTTGTACTAGTGAAGTACATATTCCAATGTACTAGTGAGGTACATATTCCAATATACTAGTGAAGAATGTACTCCAATATGAAAATCCTTTTCTTAGTCTTAACTACTCTCTAAAATGTTAAGTTTTAATGAATTTGTATTTGCATAATCAAACAACTAAGTAACTGCTTATAAGTGTACCTTATTTTCCGGGACAGCAGTCTTTGTGTAATCTTCTACTGGACCTTCTACCTTCTGCTTCTTGACTGGAGGTTGATTTTCTACTGACACCAGAGGCTTCTGCTTGCTTTTAGCTTCAGGTAGCTGTAAGTGTTTGTGGAGGGCCTTACTAAGGTCCTCAGAGAGGTACTCAGATATTATACCATATGCCAACACCAGATATGCCTCTGAGAAGTAAAGAATACTATTAAAACAAATCCTTGCACTTCCTAGATGGACAGGACAAACTTCGCTTTCTCATTACAAATTCAAGATACTGATTTAAATTTTGCAGTTTACTGATGGTGAAAATTCGAAGACCCTCTGCAATGGCTCTTAACAGTTTTGCTAATAAATGTTCAAAATAAATGTTAAATGCGTCTCAGATTTTCCCCTCTAACACATTATGTTAAATGCCTAGCACTCATTTTATTATATTTGTAATTTCAATTTTATAAAATACATGATATTTCAACATTATAAGTAAATGCTGTAAAGAGTTTTTATGAGGATAGTGAGGCTCAGGTTAGGGTGTGTAGAAGAGAGGGAGAATACTTCCCAGTAAAAGTAGGTCTTAGACAGGGATGTGTAATGTCACCATGGTTGTTTAATATACGTATTTATAGATGGGGTTGTAAAAGAAGTAAATGCTAAGCTGTTGGGGAAAGGGGTGGGATTATATTATGGGGAATCAAATACAAAATGAGAGTTGACACAGTTACTTTTTGCTGATGATACTGTGCTTATGGGAGATTCTAAAGAAAAGTTGCAAAGGTTAGTGGACGAGTTTGGGAGTGTGTGTAAAGGTAGACAGTTGAAAGTGAACATAGATAAGAGTAAGGTGATGAGGGTATCAAATGATTTAGATAAAGAAAAACTGGATATCACATTGGAGAGAGGGAGTATGGGAGAAGTGAATGTTTTCAGATATTTGGGAGTTGATGTGTCAGCAGATGGGTTTATAAAGGATGAGGTTAACCATAGAATTGATGAAGGAAAAAAGGCAAGTGGTGTGTTGAGGTATATGTGGAGGCAAAAAATGTTATCTATGGAGGCAAAGAAGGGAATGTATGAAAGTATAGTGGTACCAATTCTCCTATATAGGTGTGAAGCTTGGGTTGTAAATGCTGCAGCGAGGAGGCGGTTGGAGGCAGTGGAGATGTCCTGTCTAAGGGCAATGTGTGGTATAAATATTATGCAGAAAATTCGGTGTGTGGAAATTAGGAGATGGTGTGGAGTTAATGAAAGATTAGTCAGAGGTGGTTTGGTCATTTAGAGGAAATGGATCAAAGTAGAATGACATAGAGAGCATATAAATTTATAGGGGAAGGAAGGCAGGGTATGGGTCGTCCTCGAAAAGGTTGGAGGGAGAGGGTAAAGGAAGTTTTGTGGGCGAGGGGGTTGGACTTCCAGCAAGCGTGCGTGAGTGTGTTAGATACGAGTGAATGGAGATGCATGGTTTTTGGGACCTGACGAGCTGTTGGAGTGTGAACAGGGTAATATTTAGTGAAGGGATTCAGGGAAACTGGTTATTTTTATATAGCCAGACTTGAGTACTGGAAATGGGAAGTACAATGCCTGCACTTTAAAGGAGGGGTTTAGGATATTGGCAGTTTGGAGGAATATGGTATATTTCTTTATATATGCTACTAAACTGTTGTATCTGGGAGCCTCTGCAAAAACAGTGATTATGTATGAGTGAGGTCAAAGTGTTGAATGATGATGAAAGTATTTTCTTTTTGGGGATTTTCTTTCTTTTTGTGTCACCCTGCCTCGATGGGAGACGGCTGACTTGTTGAAGAAAAAAAAAAAGTAAACAGAAGGGTGGACAAGGGGCTTGAACTGCAGTCTGTCCACCCTTCTGTTTATTCACTGACAGTTGTTAATTACAATTTAATTTTAGTCCATTGTAAGGATAATATATTAATGCAAAAAAGTTTTCTTTTGCAAAATTTAAATAAACAGTGTACCTTTCCCATGCCCAGGTAAACTAGTGCTACCTCTGATGCCAACATCAGACAATGCTCACGCTCTCAGATGGCAAAGAAAGGCGGCAGATACAGGTCCGCGGAACGTTTCACATAAAGCCATTTCCTACTTCAAAACTTTATATTCTGTGATTTGATTTAATGAATTATCACAAATCCTACCACATGTATCTGAAATCTTTATGGTGGATACTCTAAGTGCAATGCACCTAACTATCTGTGACTTGCTTTTGTACAAGTCCTGAGCAAATCCTTGCTAACCATAAAAATCCTGAACACTATATACGTATATATGCCAGTAAACAAAGAACAGGTGGAGCAGCACTAGCAATATCTTGTAATCACTGTGAACATCCTGACATTAGTATAATGTCAGTGTTTAAAGAATCATCTGGTCTACACTTGGTGGCTCTGAACAGTCATCTGGGTATGCTATTCCCTCTGTTTTTTTTTTTTATATTATGCTACAGTATGGGCTATAACTTACCTACGACTAAAACCTTATGTTAGCACAGTTATTATGTTTATCCATTCTTTATTTAGAGTCCCAGGTCAGACTGGGTAGGATGCCTAAAGGGACAGTGTAAACCTCACCTGAACTCAACTGATGAACACCTTAACCTCCACAATGCTGGGGGAAGCAACCATCAATATACCACAAAACATGGATAACAAAGTATGATGGGAAAAAAACACCAACAGTTATCAACAGAAGTAAAACATGGGAGTCACAGACCTTGAAGTGCAGCACGGAGACAATGAAAGCGGGTAACATCAAAACTGGAAACATACTCTACTTCAGAGTTTGGAGGTCACTGCCCAAGGACACTGCATGCATAAAACACACGTGCAAAACCCAGGTAATTTTAATGCCAAAACTTTTTGCCTGCACAACAGGCATAATCAGTACAATACTGAAGAATGTAGAACTGAAGAAATAATTTTGAGGCAATCAGTCCCCCAGCTTTGACAGAAGATGGTCAGTCTTTTAGCCTACAGCAGAGGCATCAGGCCAGACTTATATACTGAAAGCAGAAGTAAGGTGATGGCATCACAGGTCCCATTAGTGGAAGTAGGTCATGAAAAACAGTTAGTAAAATTGCCTCTCCACATCTACTATCTTCAGTATTATAATTACCTCTGTATTTTACTGATATGCCTGCTATGCAGGTGAAACACTTCAGTAATAAAGATAACTAAGTGTTGCAATTGTCTTATTCATCAGCTTGTCGGTATTGTATATCTTTCTTCTTTCAACAAACCGGCAGTATCCCACTGAAGCAGGGCGGCCCAAAAGGAAAAACGAGTTTCTTCTTTTAAATTTAGTAATATCTACAGGGGAAGGGATTACTAGCCCCTTGCTCATTATTGTATATCATATAATATAAAACTGCATGCCTTCCAAACTGAGATCCAGAGAGATTGGGTAAAAGAACCAATCCACATATAGTATATCTCTAACAACAAGGGTCTGGATGGACACCTGTACACGCACACACACACACACACGTGGAGAGACAGTGTTCATCAATGTTCTGCAATACATCTATGAAAGCAAGTACCACACAATTAATGACCAATTTTTAATAAAATTTTAGAAAATTGGGAATCAAAGACTAAGCAGTATGCTGATAACAAAGAAGGTAACATCAGAACTTAGTGCATATAGGACAGTGCTAGAAAAGCATCACACCAGCAATCTGTAAAGTTTTTAATTTAAGGCCCAGGAAAACAATGGCTGTAAGGGATGAGAATCCATATATTCGTGCACTAAGACTAGTGCTGAGGGTCTGGATGGACACCAGAAGCTCCACATGTAGAGGAATATTGACCATCAATGTCCCACACTACTACTACTACTACCGTACTTCAAAGGCATCACATCTCCAGAAGTGTTGGTTCTGTAGAAGGTGAAATTATCCTATGTAAATGTGAAAAGGTATATGTTGGCGAGACTGCCTGGTGCTTGAATCAGTAGAGATATCTTGAATAAAGCGTGTTTAATACACAGGCATTCACAAAGGCACTAGATGAGACATAGATGTCAAGTTGGTTATGAAGAACAATCTGAAGAAATGCCCATTTTGAGGCTTCCTTGATCATGTCTTCTGACACAACAGCACAAAACTCAGTTAATTTTAACATCCACCAATACTCGCCAAGCTTATTCTGCCCTGCCACATATTACACAGGGTGAAGCATGCTCTAGCACCTGACATCACCAAATCTAACCCTACCTAGCTCACCCAACTTCCTTTCCCTGCATATTTTTTGTACGAGATCTGTACTAGACTGAAAAAGCCCCCCAGTGGCAGGGTGATCCAAAAAAGAAGAAAACTATAAAGTTCATCTTTTTACACTTAGTAATTTACACAGGAGAAAGGGTTACTAGCCCCTGCTCCCAGCATTTTAGTTGCTTCTTATGACAAGCACAGCTTAGAAAGGAAAGATTCTTTTCCACTTCCCATGGAGATAAAAGTAAATAAAGTTTGTCAGCACTGTCATACCTGTACTTGCTGCAGGACATTTATTATGGAAGTACTGCTCTCCCAGGATATGAAAACATTTACATAATAAATGTCTTAATGCTACATTTGTGTTTTACTTATGCATTTGATCCCATCTCGGAAATCACTCGGTGAATATTCACAGGGATACACACCTCTTGGTGTAAACACTGAGATACACTCCCCTCAGTATTATATCTTGGAGGACTCACACTATGATCACCTTTTGAAAGAAAGCCCATCTGTGAATTATATATTTCAGTGAATTATTATTATAATCATAAGTGAGTGCTAAACCCATAAGGGCCATACAGTGCTGCCTGTATTTCAGTAAAGAACATTCCTTGCCTTGTGTTTGTTGTGAATCCATTGTGCGAACAAAAGTGAAGCTTTGGGCATTAGATGTTGGAACTTTCTTCTCCTGCAATAACTTCGAAAGTTGCTTAACCCGCTTCTCTAGCCAAGACAAAGTTTTATTTTCACTGTATTTCCACACTCCAAGCTCAGCATTTCCTGTAACCAAAGAAAGTAAATTTATGAAAGTAAGAACAATTATGGACTGCTTTTAACTTTGAATATTATATAAAACAGCATTGTTCATTATTAAAATTCTATTGAATGAGTGATGGTGAATTTGTTTACTTCTTTGGGTCACCCAACCTTGATGGGAAACAGCCAATATGGTAAAAAAAATCCTCATTATATGAAGAATAAAATTTACAATACTGTGGCTGGAACAATTAACTCACAAATACTGTCCATTCATACAATATTTTCTTTTTCAACATTACCAGTCATCTCCCACCAATGAAGGGTGACGAAAAAAAAGAAAACCTCATACAGGTTTTCTTCTTTTTACATTTAGTAATTTATACAGGTTTCCAGTCTTTCGTTTCCAGCATTTTAGTCACCTTTTATGACATACATGACTTACAGAGGAAAGAATACAGTAAAACTGTGTATAGGAAAATGTATTTTTGAGAGAACTAAAAACAAAATCCAGTAATGACATTATCAATTATTATTTTTTATTACAGGAGGGTCCTGCTTTACAGCGCTTCACTTTACAGTGTTTCACTAATAGAGCAGTTTTCGATTACAGTAGGACCCCCATATCTGCAGGATACACTCCAAGAACCTGCTGTGGATACCGAAACCACATACATGTATAGTAGAGAACCCTATATAAGTCCTATACAAACCTATTATAAAGTTTAACCCCTTGACTGTTTCGGTTGTATATAGTATACGTCTTACGAGCCACCGTGTTTGATGTATCTATACGCATAAATTCTAGTGGCTTCAAATCAAGCGGGAGAGGGCTGGTAGGCCTACATGAGAGAGAATGGGTCTGAGTGGTGGGTGTGCACCCTGTGAAAAAAAATCTGGGACTCAGTGGTGCATTGTGGGAACGCCATCTTGGTAGTCCGTTTTCACCATGCCTCGTGGTAAGAAGTATCTCACTCCTCGGCGGATTGTAGGTCTTTTGTTCCCAAGTGATAGCTCTAACAGCGATGGAAGTGTCAGTGAAAGTAAATTCCATGGTTTTCAAGCGGGTGTGACCGAAAACAGTGCCCAGGATAACATAATTAGTGATGAAAGCCCAGATGACCCACGACCTTCCACCTCTGGTGCTGGGCCGGCTCGTTCATGTTCACCTGTACCAGGACGAAAGAGGAAACTATTTGCCCAAGTACAAGACTCAGATGTGAACAGTGAAAGTGATAGTGATAGTGATTTTAAAGCTATTGAAAGCAGTTCTAGTTGCGACAGTAAGGGTGAATATTCCCCAGTGAAGCAGCAGTATATACAACGTAGCATGCGGTCTGGTAGTGTGTCATATGCTGTTCCAAGGAGAAGGAGTAAATCTCGGAGCACATCCCGTGGCCCTACACCACGAACTGATAGTGAAGATGACAATATTGTTACGATGGGTATGAATGATGTGAGTGAGGCAGCAGGTGGTGGTGCTGATAGTGATGGTGGCATGAGTCATGTGGCACCAGCAGCAGGCCATGCTACTACTACTGCTGCTGACTCTGCACAACCACAACCAGCCTCACCCAACCCCACACTCCCACAACATCCACAACCACAACCTGCATAACCACAACCACATTTCAATATCCATAACCCACCAGCTGACCGCATCTGAGATTGGCAGCAAGGTGACGAGTTTGTTCCCAGTCCCCATGACTTTGATGAAATACAAAGTGGAATACGGCCATCATGTACACTTAGAAACAATGCCACTGAACTGGAATGCTGTCAGTTGTTCTTTGATGAACCCCTGATGGACATTATTGTCAGGGAAAGCAATACATACTTTGAGCACACCATGGCAAACACAATTCTTTCACCAAGATCACGCCTACACCAGTGGAAGGACACAACTGCGGCAGAGATGTATCTGTTCTTTACCACAATAATGCTTATGTCACATGTGTATAAGCACAGTGTTAACACATACTGGTCGACAGTTAGTTTAGTTAGTTTAATATGTTTATTATGCACCCCATACCCATCCTGTGGGCAGTAGTCAAAAGATTACAGAGGTACATAATGGGTCCAGGGACTGGACTCCAGGTAGATCTGGTCACAATCATGGCAAGTTACAAAGGTAATGAATCAGCCTCATTCCTATACATGGTTACAGTCATGAACAAATTACTAAGTAATGAGCCACTGATATGTCCACACCTGGTCACAACTGTAATGAGTTATAAATACAAATATTAAGTGGGTCATACACCCACACAATCGCGCACGCGCACACATATACATGTACTGGTCGACAGACCGCCTGATTTCAACCCCAGCTTTCAGTGACATTATACCAGCGAACGGATTTGTGCTATTGTTACGTATGCTACACTTTTCAGACAAAACAAGGCCTGACAGAAGCAACAGGTTATATAAGATCAGAAATGTATTTATGTACCTGAAACAAAAGTGCTGTATGTATTTTTATCCCTTCAGGAAGCTTGTTATTGATGAGTCTTTGATTTTGTTCAAAGGAAGACTCTCATTGAAGCAGTACATACCAAGCAAGAGGAAAAGCTTTGGTATAAAGTTATTTGTACTGTGTGATTGCAAAAGTGGTCTGGTTTTGGATATAATTGTGTACACTGGCAGTAAAACATTGCAAGATACCAGGAAGTTACTAGGTATCTCTGGTAATGTGGTTAGAACAACGATGGAACCATATCTTGGTAAGGGGTATATTTTATATACTGACAACTGGTACACAAGCCCTTTAGTCAGTGATTTCTTGCGAGTGAACATGACAGATGTGTGTGGCACAGTGCGTGGAAATCATAAGCATATGCCTAGGTTTGACACTGGCACTTGTAGAGGTGATGTTCAGGTGTTTGCTGCCAATGACATCATGGCATTTCGGTGGCATGACAAACGTGATGTCACACTGTTGACATCAGTTCACCGACACAAAATGGTAGACACTGGCAAGCAGAATAGAGACCAATGAACCCATTATAAAACCTGCAGCTGTGATGAATTACAACCTCAATATGCACTTAGTGGACAAATGTGACATGCAGATTGGGTTTGCTGATTGTGTTCACAAGAGTTATAAGTGCTACATAAAACTCTTTTTCTATCTTCTTGACATTTCCATGTTGAATGTTTATAATATGTATAAGTTGAAAACCAACAACAAACCCAAATATGGTGAATTTTGTTTGTCAGTCATCAGACAAATAATATTCAAGTACCAAGGAACAACACTTGCAATAGACCAGCGCCCACGAAATTATCAACACATGCCCTCTCGTCTGAGGCCTGGTGATCACTTCCCCATACCACTGCCTGCTACTGCTCTCAAGAAAAATGCTCAGAAGAGGTGTTTTGTCTGTGGACATACCACAAAACGCCCACAAAAACGCAGACACTCGTTTTATGTGTGAGGAGTGTAAAACACCACTGTGCTTATACCCATGTTTCAAAGAATTCCACAAGCTGCAGCAGTTCTAGAAAAGTGTCCAGTGACTGTATATCTGTATATATATTATAGAACAATTGTAATAAACAATTTTTTATATTGTTTGTGTAAACAAGTTTTGTAAACATTATGATGATACAGTACTAGTGTTTTTGCTATAACTGTGTTACATTCAATGAGTGTATATATGAACATTGCACCATACTTTGGTCTCACAGGCCACAAAAGTTATGTGAAAAAATAAAATAGTGAAAAAAAAAAAAAACAAGAAACCTTCGAATAAAAGTAAAGCAAAGTTTACCGGGTGAGCGGCAGTCGCCGCTGTTGCCATTCGCGGCTCATTTTCTGCAAACTTCACGCCTCTATATCTTGGTAAGTACTGATGGCAAAAAAATTTTTTTGGACTAAAACAATCAGAAAAAATAATCTTAACATTTTCATAAGAAAAAATAATTTTTTTTTTTTCGAATATTTTGCGACACCAGGAGACACTTTAGGATTGGGGCTTGTGACTCAAAGGGTTAATTGATAAATTACAAAAAGTAGAGAATTATCACTTTTCCATTGATGAGAAGCATTTCACAGCTTCTCTTAGGTCTTGAAGAACATCCACCATTACTACTTTTGCACTCTGAGGCCATTTCTAAGCAAAATTAAGCGTTATTTTCAGGCTATGGTAAACTATAGATAATTGAAACCATGGATACCAGACCTGTGGATACCAGGGCCCTACTGTACACCCATTCTTTATTTATTCAGACTTCCTACAATAAATATATTCACCACTCACTATAAGCTAAGGACGAAAATATTTTAAGGTAAGTAATGGTGGGAAGTACAATGCCTCACTGTCTGGAGTGACATCTAAACTGTCATATCTGGGTACCTCTGCAAAGACAGTGATTATGTGTGAATGATGGTTAGTGTTGAATGATGAAAGTTTCTTTTTTTTGGACCACTGTACTTAGGTGGGAGACGGCCGATTTGTTAAAAAAAAAAATAGAAGTGTGTACTGTATATGATTTTTTTAGGCCTAGCTCTATTGCTCACCTAATACATGATAGTGTAAGCATGTTATCAGGCTTATATGTATATGGATTTAAAAGTAAAAAAGGCTGTTGCAATTGACAGCAATTTTTGCCTTAAAGCAGTAGCCCAGAACCTAACCTGCTGTATAAGCGGGACCCTCCTATACAGTGGTACCCTGACTTATGAGTTTAATTCGTTCCATGACCCAACTCGTAACTCAATTTGCTCATATAGCAAGTCAATTTTCTTCATTGAAGTTAACTGAAATGCCATTAATCGGTTCCAGCCCCCCCCCCCCCAAAAAAAAAAAAAAAAAAATTTTTGTTACGGGTTTTTAAAGTAAGAAAAATGTACTTATAAATAAGAAATGATTTTTGCCTTTTTTGCCAGGTCCCAGCAATGTTTTAGAAATGTTGGAGTATATGAGACTCCCTGAAGCATGGTGTAAGATGAGTGTCACTCCACTGCCAGTGGAGTGACACTCGTGTAGTGACATTTGATGATCGTGCACTGCCTTGGCTTTATTTTTCACTGTTACGCATAAACATGTCTGTCTGCCTGTCTGTCACTCCACTGCCAGTGCAGTGTCTCCCGTAAAGTGACATTTGATGATGTTACACATTGGTTATTATCAAGATTTTTTATATTTCCTCTCTCCTGCAAGTGGCAGCACATCTGAACCTCACTCCTAACTCAGATTTTGGCTCGCAACTCAAAGCAAGAAATTGACTGAGTGACAACTCGTAACTCGGAAAACTCCACAGCTGGGGCACTCATAAGTCAAGGTACCACTGTATATTGGAAAACACTAAACCCACTGAGGTCATACAGTGCCTGGAGAATATGAAGCAATCAAATCTTATTTGAGGAAGGAGAAAAGTAGCTCCAATTCCTTGGACCAAGAGCTCTTCACCAGCATCAAGGCATCTCTCCTAAAACTGACCTTTCCTATCAGCAATATGTGAGAAATCCTTCGTTGCAGCAACAGCAGCTAACTTAGATAGTGAAGGAAAGTCTGGGTCTTCCAGAAGATGGTCCAAAGGAATATTTTTAGTGGCCTGAAAATATATATTAAAAATTTAAGACCAGTTATTTTAGTAAAGTACTCTTTATGGGTTTATTCGATGGATGTATTAGTATTAACTAGTCATAATAGTTGATGGTCAAAGATGCATCAAAATGTTATTTTAAGTTTCATTCTCCTATGTGTGGGTTATTTGTGAATAAAGTTATTAAAATGCAATCATTCCAAAACAAATAAATGTAGTAAGGAAATTTTGTTTTATTAAGACACTGGGCATTTCCCACCGAGGCAGGGTGACAAAGAATTTTGAACACTGTAAACTTTAAAGAACGAAATCCATCTATGAACACTAAGTACATAAAGATAGACAAGTTCCAGAACAAGTTTTTATTAGTACAGTTTCTTGCTGTAGAGAGCTTTATCAAGTCAAGAAAGCTGAACTGTGACATGGTGAAAAGTACTCGTTTGCTCCCTCACTCACTCACAACAAAAAGACACATATACACAGAGAGCTGAGTCTCGACCCCTTCAACCACAATTAGGTAAGTACACGCGCACACACGTGCACACACGCACACATGCACACACACCGAGCACACACACACAAAGGAGCAGAGGGGAAGGAGGGGTTGCACTGCTCGTAAAACACCGATTGAAATTTGAGGAAATGGGAGGCATGGACAAGACTGGAGGAAGAGAATACATAGTAGGTACACTCCAGTCTGGGAAGCACAAAGCAGTCATTGCAGTGATGTATAACCCACCACAAAACTGCAGGAGGCCAAGAGAGGAATATGAAGAGAGTAACAGAACAATGGTGGACACACTGGCTGAGGTGGCAAAAAGAGCTCACTCGAGCAGAGCAAAGTTACTGGTTATGGGTGATTTCAATCACAGGGAGATCAATTCGGAAAACCTGGAACCACACGGGGTCCCGAAACTTGGAGAGCCAAGATGATGGATGTGGTACTGGAAAACCTCAAGCATCAATATGTTAAGGATACTACCAGAGATGTCATGTCTGAGAGCAATGTGTGGTGTGAATATAATGCAGAGAATTCGTAGTTTGGAAGTTAGGAGGAGGTGCAGGATTACCAAAACTGTTGTCCAGAGGGCTGAGGAAGGGTTGTTGAGGTGGTTCGGACATGTGGAGAGAATGGAGCGAAACAGAATAACTTCAAGAGTGTATCAGTCTGTAGTGGAAGGAAGGCGGGGTAGGGGTCGGTCTAGGAAAGGTTGGAGGGAGGGGGTAAAGGAGGTTTTGTGTGCGAGGGGCTTGGACTTCCAGCAGGCATGTGTGAGCGTGTTTGATAGGAGTGAATGGAGACAAATGGTTTTTAATACTTGACGTGCTGTTGGAGTGTGAGCAAAGTAACATTTATGAAGGGGTTCAGGGAAACCGGCAGGCCGGACTTGAGTCCTGGAGATGGGAAGTACAGTGCCTGCACTCTGAAGGAGGGGTGTTAATGTTGCAGTTTAAAAACTGTAGTGTAAAGCACCCTTCTGGCAAGACAGTGATGGAGTGAATGATGGTGAAAGTTTTTCTTTTTCGGGCCACCCTGCCTTGGTGGGAATCGGCCAGTGTGATAATAAGATAATAATAATATTACCAGAGGAAGGGGGGGGGGATGAACCAGCAAGACTGGACCTTGTGTCCACCCTGAGCAGTTCAGACATTGAGGACATCACACATGAGAGACCCCTAGGAGCTAGTGACCACATGGTTCTGTGCTTTAAATACATAGTAGAGCTACAAGTGGAGAGGGTAACAGGAGACAAATGGGAGAAGCCAGACTATAAACAGGGGGACTACATAGGTTTGAGGAACTTCCTGCAAGAGGCTCAGTGGGACAGAGAACTGGTAGGAAAGTTGGTAAATGAAGTGATGGAATTCGTAACAACAAAATGTAAGGAGGCAGAGGAAAGGTTTGTTCCCAAGGGCAACAGAAACAATGGGAAGACCAGAACGAGCCCCTGGTTTACCCGACAGTGGAAGGAGGCAAAACCAAGTGCAATAGAGCATGGAAAAAGTACAGAAGGCAAAGAACACAGGAAAATAAGGAGATTAGTCGAAGAGCCAGGAACAAGTATGCACAGGTAAGGAGGGAGGCCCAGCAACAGTGTGAAAATGACATAGCATCAAAAGTCAAGCCAGACCCTAAACTGCTGTACAGCCACATCAGGAGGAAGATAACAGTTAAGACCAGGTGATCAGGCTGAGGAAAGAAGGTGGGGAACTCACAAGTAACGATCACGAGGTATGCGAGGAGCTTAACATGAGATTTATGGAAGTACTTACAGTAGAGACAGGAATGGCTCCGAGAAGACAGCACAGAGGGAAACACCAACAGGGAACATACCAACAGGTGCTGGATGACATACAAACAACAAAGGAGGAGGTGCAGAAGCTGCTAAGTGACCTCGATACCTCAAAGGCGAGGGGTCTGGACAACATCCCCCTGTGGGTCCTTAGGGAAGGAGCAGGGCCGCTGTGTGTGCCACTAACCACAATCTTCAATATATCCCTTGAAACTGGGCAACTACCTGAGGTATGGAAGATGGCAAATGCAGTCTCCATTTTTAAGAAAAGGAGACAGAAACGAGGCACTAAACTACAGACCAGTGTCTCTGACGTGTATAGTATGCAAAGTCATGGAGAAGATTATCAGGAGGAGAGTGGTGGAGCACCTGGAACGAAACACGATTATAAACAACAACCAACACGGATTCATGGAAGGCAAATCCTGTCACAAACCTTCTGGAGTTTCATGACAAGGTAACAGAAGTAAGAAATTAGAGAGGGGTGGGTTGACTGCATTTTCCTGGACTGCAGGAAGGCCTTCAACACAGTTCCTCACAGGAGATTAGTGCAGAAGCTGGAGGATCAGGCACATATAACAGGAAGGGCACTGCAATGGATCAGAGAATACGTGATGGAGGCAACAATGCGTCATGAGGTATCACAGTGGGCTCCTGTGATGAGTGGGGTACCACAGGGGTCAGTCCTAGGACCAGTGCTATTTTTGATATATGCGAATGACATGGTGGAAGGGATAGACTTTGAAGTGTCCCTGTTCGCAGATGATGTGAAGCTAATGAGAAGGATTAAATCGGACAAGGATCAGGCAGGACTACAAAGAGACCTGGATAGGCTGGACACACATGCCAGCAACTGGCTTCTCAATTTCAACCCTGCCAAATGTAAAGTTATGAAGATTGGGGAGGGGCAAAGAAGACCTCAGGGTATAGGCTAGGTGGACAAAGGCTGCAAACCTCACCCAAGGAGAAAGATCTTGGGGTGACCATAACACCGAGCACATCTCCAGAGGCACACATCAACCAGATAACGGCTGCAGCATATGGGCGCCTGGCAAACCTGAGAATAGCGTTCCGATACCTTAGTAAGGAATCGTTCAAGACATTGCACACTGTGTACATCAGGCCCATACTGGAGTATGCAGCACCAGTTTGAACCCACACCTGGTCAAGCACATCAAGAAATTAGAGAAAGTACAAAGGTTTGCAACAAGGCTAGTTCCGGAGCTCAGGGGAATGTCCTATGAAGAAAGGTTGAGGGAAATTGGACTGACGACACTGGAGGACAGGAGGGTCAGGGGAGACATGATAACAACATACAAAATAATGCGTGGAATAGACAAGGTGGACAGAGACAGGATGTTCCAGAGAGGGAACACAGAAACAAGGGGTCACAATTGGAAGCTGAAGACTCAGACGAGTCACAGGGACATTAGGAAGTATTTCTTCAGTCACAGAGTCATCAGGAAGTGGAATAGCCTAGCAAGTGATGTAGTGGAGGCAAGAACCATACATAGCTTTAAGACGAGGTATGACAAAGCTCAGGAAGCAGAGAGAGAGAGGACCTAGTAGCGATCAGTGAAGAGGCAGGGCCAGGAGCCGAGTCTCGACCCCTGCAACCACAATTAGGTGAGTACACACACTAACACAAACACACACACTAACACACTCACACACACACACACACACACACACACACACACACACACATATACAAGCAGAGGTATGATAAAGCTCACGGTTCAGGGAGAGTGACCTAGTAGCGACCAGTGAAGAGGCGGGGCCAGGAACTAGGACTCAACCCCTGCAACCTCAACTAGGTGAGTACAAACACATACACACAAACACATATACACACAAAATGGCTTCAAATTTGCAAGCAATATGACATTTAATCCAAGATTAAGAACAATTTACTAACCTCCATTAAATATGGAAGAATAAGGTATGAAACATCCACCGGTGATATAATATATAGACGTCCATCTGACTGGATGGTCTCTCCAATAAACCAGGACCTGAAGATTATACAACATCCAAATTTTAAGACCATTTTCAATACGTTTAAACCTACAGTGAAACTAACTTGAAATTAATGGGAGGTCAGAAAATAGGTTTAAATAGTGACTATGGTTCATTTGCATTAGGGATATAAGATGCCCCCCACTTTAAGATAGAATGACTTACGATATTTTAACTTTACGATGGAGCGACAGTGATGAACATTAAGTAGTCATCAAACTTTGATTTTTTTTTGGTACTGTACAGTAATGTACATTTACTGATAGGATAAACTTGTATTCATTTATTTACTTTTAATAATGGTATTTAATTAGTTACAGTAATTATTTTACTCCTCCTGTATAAATTACTAAATGTCAAAAGAACAACCTTCATTTTTCTTTTTAGGTCACCCTGCTTTGGTAGGAGACAGCCAGTGAATTGAAAAAAATTATTTGTTTATTTACTTACTTCAGTGACAGAAGTTATTTATTTACTTAACAGATCATTCATATCCGATTTACGGTATTTTCAGCTTATGGTGGTTTCATCGGAATGAAACCCCACAATAAGTCAAGGAGCACCTGCACATCACAGGATGTTGTCACAATATCTTATCCCATCTCCCACCAAGGTAAGGATAACACAAAAAAAGAAACACATTCAGTATCATTCATCTAACAGCTGGGGCTTTAACCCATGGCAAGTTGAATCCTATAACTAGCAGGCCAGAGAGCTAGCCACTGGTCCATGCTGGCCTAAAAAAATTCATCCAACTAGGTACATTTCTATACTCCATAAGGAGGTTAGCATGGGCCACCAGTGACCACAAATGCAGGTTTATATGGACAAATCTCACACCAGCAAGGCTATGGCAGGAGCTATCTCAATTCCCTTCAAAGCCACCATTATGACTCAACTTTAATAATATGATCACAAACAAATCACAGAATGGGTGGGGTTTAAAGTTTTAGGACTCATTTGCCATGGATTCGAGCCCTACGTAGTACTATTTTCAGTACTAAAAACCAATCAAAATTATCTCTAACATATCTTCCATTCTATCAAATGAGACCAAGAAACCGTGAATACAACTGTAAAACCACATGAAAATACACCACAAAGTCGCTGTTTTAATCCAAAAACACAGCAGTTTTTTTTTCTCATTATGCACTGCGTGCTTCAGCATTTGCTTTATATGGTGCACACTTACCACACAGATGCATTCCCTCATACCTAGGCCCAAATTTACCGATCACAGCTTATCTGAGTGAGCTGAGCTCATAGCACAGATCTACGACTTGGACCCTGTGGACAAGGCGTAGATCTACAACCTGGACCCTCAAAGGGATAATTATTATATTTAGAGTATGTGGAATTGCTAAACCCACAGACATTACACAGTACCTGGACAGGGAAGGTAATTAATTAGTTTGATCTGAGAAAGTGAAGGGTACCTACAATTCAACTCTTAAAGAAGAGGAAATAATGAAAATAATGAAAATACCCTTATTGGCTGGTATGATTATGATTATGATTATGATTATTAGAGTAAGATATAAACAGCTATTGGAGGATAGATGGGCTAATGAGAGCATAGGCAATGGGGTCGAAGAGGTATGGGGTAGGTTTAAAAATGTAGTGTTAGAGTGTTCAGCAGAAGTTTGTGGTTACAGGAAAGTGGGTGCGGTAGGGAAGAGGAGCGATTGGTGGAATGATGATGTAAAGAGAGTACTAAGGGAGAAAAAGTTAGCATATGAGAAGTTTTTACAAAGTAGAAGTGATGCAAGGAGGGAAGAGTATATGGAGAAAAAGAGAGAGGTTAAGAGAGTGGTGAAACAATGTAAAAAGAGAGCAAATGAGAGAGTGGGTGAGATGTTATCAACAAATTTTGTTGAAAATAAGAAAATGTTTTGAAGTGAGATTAACAAGTTAAGGAAGCCTAGAGAACAAATGGATTTGTCAGTTAAAAATAGGAGAGGAGAGTTATTAAATGGAGAGTTAGAGGTATTGGGAAGATGGAGGGAATATTTTGAGGAATTGTTAAATGTTGATGAAGATAGGGAAGCTGTGATTTCGTGTATAGGGCAAGGAGGAATAACATCTTGTAGGAGTGAGGAAGAGCCAGTTGTGAGAGTGGGGGGAGTTCGTGAGGCAGTAGGTAAAATGAAAGGGGGTAAGGCAGCCGGGATTGATGGGATAAAGATAGAAATGTTAAAAGCAGGTGGGGATATAGGTTTGGAGTGGTTGGTGCAATTATTTAATAAATGTATGGAAGAGGGTAAGGTACCTAGGGATTGGCAGAGAGCATGCATAGTTCCTTTGTATAAAAGCAAAGGGGACAAAAGAGAGTGCAAAAATTATAGGGGGATAAGTCTGTTGAGTTGGGAGCAGGGGGCTGGTAACCCCTTCTCCTGTATTTTTTTTTTTATTATCACACTGGCCAATTCCCACCAAGGCAGGGTGGCCCGAAAAAGAAAAACTTTCACCATCATTCACTCCATCACTGTCTTGCCAGAAGGGTGCTTTACACTACAGTTTTTAAACTGCAACATTAACACCCCTCCTTCAGAGTGCAGGCACTGTACTTCCCATCTCCAGGACTCAAGTCCGGCCTGCCGGTTTCCCTGAATCCCTTCATAAATGTTACTTTGCTCACACTCCAACAGCACGTCAAGTATTAAAAACCATTTGTCTCCATTCACTCCTATCAAGCACGCTCACGCATGCCTGCTGGAAGTCCAAGCCCCTCGCACACAAAACCTCCTTTACCCCCTCCCTCCAACCCTTCCTAGGCCGACCCCTACCCCCCCTTCCTTCCACTACAGACTGATACACTCTTGAAGTTATTCTGTTTCGCTCCATTCTCTCTACATGTCCGAACCACCTCAACAACCCTTCCTCAGCCCTCTGGACAACAGTTTTGGTAATCCCGCACCTCCTCCTAACTTCCAAACTACGAATTCTCTGCATTATATTCACACCACACATTGCCCTCAGACATGACACTCCACTGCCTCCAGCCTTCTCCTCGCTGCAACATTCATCACCCATGCTTCACACCCATATAAGAGCGTTGGTAAAACTATACTCTCATACATTCCCCTCTTTGCCTCCAAGGACAAAGTTCTCTGTCTCCACAGACTCCTAAGTGCACCACTCACTCTTTTTCCCTCATCAATTCTATGATTCACCTCATCTTTCATAGACCCATCCGCTGACACGTCCACTCCCAAATATCTGAATACGTTCACCTCCTCCATACTCTCTCCCTCCAATCTGATATTCAATCTTTCATCACCTAATCTTTTTGTTATCCTCATAACCTTACTCTTTCCTGTATTCACCTTTAATTTTCTTCTTTTGCACACCCTACCAAATTCATCCACCAATCTCTGCAGCTTCTCTTCAGAATCTCCCAAGAGCACAGTGTCATCAGCAAAGAGCAGCTGTGACAACTCCCACCCTGTGTGTGATTCTTTATCTTTTAACTCCACGCCTCTTGCCAAGACCCTCGCATTTACTTCTCTTACAACCCCATCTATAAATATATTAAACAACCACGGTGACATCACACATCCTTGTCTAAGGCCTACTTTTACTGGGAAAAAATTTCCCTCTTTTCTACATACTCTAACTTGAGCCTCACTATCCTCGTAAAAACTCTTCACTGCTTTCAGTAACCTACCTCCTACACCATACACTTGCAACATCTGCCACATTGCCCCCCTATCCACCCTGTCATACGCCTTTTCCAAATCCATAAATGCCACAAAGACCTCTTTAGCCTTATCTAAATACTGTTCACTTATATGTTTCACTGTAAACACCTGGTCCACACACCCCCTACCTTTCCTAAAGCCTCCTTGTTCATCTGCTATCCTATTCTCCGTCTTACTCTTAATTCTTTCAATTATAACTCTACCATACACTTTACCAGGTACACTCAACAGACTTATCCCCCTATAATTTTTGCACTCTCTTTTATCCCCTTTGCCTTTATACAAAGGAACTATGCATGCTCTCTGCCAATCCCTAGGTACCTTACCCTCTTCCATACATTTATTAAATAATTGCACCAACCACTCCAAAACTATATCCCCACCTGCTTTTAAACATTTCTATCTTTATCTCATCAATCCCGGCTGCCTTACCCCCTTTCATTTTACCTACTGCCTCTCGAACTTCCCCCACACTCACAACTGGCTCTTCCTCACTCCTACAAGATGTTATTCCTCCTTGCCCTATACACGAAATCACAACTTCCCTATCTTCATCAACCATTTAACAATTCTCAAATATTCCCTCCATCCTTCCCAATACCTCTATCTCTCCATTTTATATACTACTCCTCTCCTATTTTTAACTGACAAATCCATTTGTTCCTCTAGGCTTCCTTAATCTTGTATCTCATCAAACCTTTTTCTTATTTTCAACAAAATTTTTGTTGATAACAGCTACACCCACTCTCTCATTGTCTCTTTTTACATTGCTTCACCACTCTCTTAACCTCATCTCTTTATCTCCATATACTCTTCCCTCCTTGCATCACTTCTACTTGTAAAAACTTCTCAATAATGCTAACTTTTCTTCCCTTACCTACCTCTTTACATCATCATTCCACCCAATCAGCTCCTCTTACTCCTCCCGCACCCACTTTCCTGTAACCACACACTTCATGCTGAACACTCTAACACTACATTTTTTAACATCTACCCATTCACTCTTCGACCCCATTGCCCTATGCTCTCATTTAGCCCATCTATCTCCAATAACTGTTTATATCTTATCCCTAACTGCCTCATCTTATCAGATTTAAAAACTTCGCCTCATTCCCTGAGGCTTTATTCTCCTGTATCCCATCTACCTTTTACTCTCAGTGTAGCTACAACTAGAAATGTGATCTGTAACTTGGGCCCCCGATAAACATGTACATCACTGAAGTCTACTCAACAGTCCTTTTATCTACCAATACATAATCCGACAAAACTACTGTCATTTCGCCCTAACATCATATATGTATACTTATTTCTACCTTTTTCCTAAAATATGTATTACCTATAACTAAACCTCCTTTCTATACAAATTCAATCAAAGGGCTCCCATTATCGATTTACACTGGACTCCAAAACTTAGCACCATCCCCCATGAAAAAGGTGTCCACTTAGCAGTTAGGTCCCTACACAATTACTCTCGGCCGACTGTTCAACTGGCTCCTAGCACACTAAGATTCCCAAAATCTCTCTCTGTCTTCAAGCATTCCCTTCTGGGACAACACAAGTATTTGATCCCGGCTTCTCGATCACTTTTACTTGCAACCCAAACATTATCTCGCTATTTACACCAATTCATATCCCTTTACCCCCTTCCAAAAACTCATAATTTAACATTACTGCTACCCCTTCCTTTGCTCTAACTCTCTCAGATACTCCAGATTTAATCCCATTTATTTCCCCCCACTGAAACTCTCCTACCCCCTTCAGCTTTGTTTCGCTTAGAGCCAGGACATCCAACTTCTTTTCATTCATAACATCAGCAATCATCTGTTTCTTGTCATCCGCACTACATCCACGCACATTTAAACAACCCAGTTTTATAAAGTTTTCTTCTTCTCTTTTTTAGTAAATGTATACAGGAGAAGGGGTTACTAGCCATTGCTCCCGGCATTTAGTCGCCACATACGACACGCATGGCTTACGGAGGAAAGATTCTTTTCCACTTCCCCATGGACAATAGAAGAAATAAAAAAGAACAAGAGCTATTTAGAATAAGGAGAAAAACCTAGATGTATGTATATATATATATGCATGTGCGTGTCTGTGAAGTGTGACCAAAGTGTAAGTAGGAGTAGCAAGATATCCCTGTTATCTAGCGTGTTTATGAGACAGAAAAAGAAAAACCAGCAATCCTACCATCATGCAAAACAGTTACAGGTTTTTGTTTCACAGTCATCTGGCAGGACGGTAGTACTTCCCTGGGTGGTTGCTGTCTACCAACCTACTACCTGTATATATTACTAAATGTAAAAGGAGAAACTTCGTTTTCCCTTTTTGGCCACCCCGCCTCGGTGGGATACGGCTGATGTGTTGAAAGAAGAAGAAGTCTGTTGAGTATACCTGGTAAAGTGTATGGTAGAGTTATTATTGAAAGAATTAAGAGTAAGACAGAGAATAGGATAGCAGATGAACAATGAGGCTTTAGGAAAGGTAGGGAGTGTGTGGACCAGGTGTTTACAGTGAAACATATAAGTGAACAGTATTTAGATAAGGCTAAAGAGGTCTTTGTGGCATTTATGGATTTGGAAAAGGCATATGACAGGGTGGATAGGGGGGCAATGTGGCAGATGTTGCAGGTGTAGGAGGTAGGTTACTGAAAGCAGTGAAGAGTTTTTACGAGGATAGTGAGGCTCAAGTTAGAGTATGTAGGAAAGAGGGAAATTATTTCCCAGTAAAAGTAGGCCTTAGACAAGGATGTGTGATGTCACCGTGGTTGTTTAGTATATTTATAGATGGGGTTGTAAGAGAAGTAAATGCGAGGGTCTTGGCAAGAGGCGTGGAGTTAAAAGATAAAGAATCACACATAAAGTGGGAGTTGTCACAGTTGCTCTTTGCTGATGACATTGTGCTCTTGGGAGTTCTGAAGAGAAGTTGCAGAGATTGGTGGATGAATTTGGTAGGGTGTGCAAAAGAAGAAAATTAAAAGTGAATATAGGAAAGAGTAAGGTTATGAGGATAACAAAAAGATTAGGTGATGAAAGATTGGATATCAGATTGGAGGGAGAGAGTATGGAGGAGGTGAATGTATTCAGATATTTGGGAGGGGACGTGCCAGCGGATGGGTCTATGAAAGATGAGGTGAATCATAGAATTGATGAGGGGAAAAGGGGTGAGTGGTGCACTTAGGAGTCTGTGGAGACAAAGAACTTTGTCCTTGGAGGCAAAGAGGGGAATGTATGAGAGTATAGTTTTACCAACGCTCTTATATGGGTGTGAAGCATGGGTGATGAATGTTGCAGCAAGGAGAAGGCTGGAGGCAGTGGAGATGTCATGTCTGAAGGCAATGTGTGGTGTGAATATAATGCAGAGAATTCGTAATTTGGAAGTTAGGAGGAGGTGCGGGATTACCAAAACTGTTGTCCAGAGGGCTGAGGAAGGGTTGTTGAGGTGGTTCGGACATGTAGAGAGAATGGAGCGAAACAGAGTGACTTCAAGAGTGTATCAGTCTGTAGTGGAAGGAAGGCAGGGTAGGGGTCGGTCTAGGAAAGGTTGGAGGGAGGGGGTAAAGGAGGTTTTGTGTGCGAGGGGCTTGGACTTCCAGCAGGCATGAGTGAGCGTGTTTGATAGGAGTGAATGGAGACAAATGGTTTTTAATACTTGACGTGCTGTTGGAGTGTGAGCAAAGTAACATTTATGAAGGGGTTCAGGGAAACCGGCAGGCTGGACTTGAGTCCTGGAGATGGGAAGTACAGTGCCTGCACTCTGAAGGAGGGATGTTAATGTTGCAGTTTAAAAACTGTAGTGTAAACCACCCTTCTGGCAAGACAGTGATGGAGTGAATGATGGTGAAAGTTTTTCTTTTTCGGGCCACCCTGCCTTGGTGGGAATCGGCCAGTGTGATAATAAAATAATAAAATTATTATTATTTTTATCATTACTATTATTTCAATCATAGTAAAGTGCAAAACCTGTAGGGGTCATACATTGCCTCGGGGAATTAGAGGTAATCAGATTCAATCCAAGGAAGCTAAGGTCAGATCCAATTCTTTGGAACAAGATCCCCTCAGGAATTAAGGAACCTCCCTAGAGGGGAGGACTGATAATCATATAAAAACATGTAAGAACACACAAAAATAAAGATTTCTTAGCACCAACAATAGGAAGAACATGAAACTTGAATTGTGAAGTGCAGTGCCAAAAAAAATACCAGATTATATACAGTATTCTTCTTCATGTACGGTACTACAATGATTCCAGGAGGCAGAATACGCAATCATTAGAAGTATTATTGCAATACAGTTTATTCTTGGAAAATTCTGTATACGTAAGGGCTATACAGCACTCCACAGGAGAGGTAAAATGAGATGTTTGGGAAGAGTGAGGGAAAAAATGAGTGTGTGGAGAGAACAAGAGGTGTTGAGGGAAGGATAAGCTGAGAGGAAAGATGCTACAGTTGATGAAGAAAATCAGTCTCACTTAAGAAATTAAAGATAATTTGCAGCATTAATAGTAAAACTATTCAGAGAGAAGGGCAGACACAGCAAGCATACCTAGGTACTAGAGAAGGCATCTGAAATAAAGTATGGCATATTCTTTGATAACAAGGCACTCAGTCAACAGATCCTGGCTGCTAGGACAGTGATTGGCACTGCTCACAGAGCAGCATAACTACAATAAACTTTTAAATACACCATCAACGTAGTTCTTCATCTTCAATTAAAAATTTATTATCAAACAGGCATAAAACTAACAGTTAAATGGGATGTAAAATATGTTACATGATATGTACCAACACATACCTGTAACCCTCATCAAAAACCACCATATCATATAACCTTCTGTTATCTTCATCAAAGACGTACATGGCAGATGAGGTACGTGGATGCTTCAGTTTAATCACCTGAATATTTGATGATGAGAAAAGTGAATCTGCAAAAGTGTACTAATGTTAATAATTTTTTCTTTTTTTTTTTTTTACAAGTCGGCCGTCTCCCACCAAGGCAGGGTGACCCAAAAAGAAAGAAAATACCCAAAAAGAAAATACTTTCATCATCATTCAACACTTTCACCTCACTCACACATAATCACTGTTTTTGCAGAGGTGCTCAGAACACAACAGTTTAGAAGCATATATGTATAAAGATACCATAACATATCCCTCCAAACTGCTAATATCCCGAAACCCTCCTTTAGAGTGCAGGCATTGTACTTCTCATTTAGATGACTCAAGTCTGGCTATATGAAAATAACCAGTTTCCCTGATTCCCTTCACTAAATATTACCCTGCTCACACTCCAACAGATCGTCAGGTCCCAAATACCATTCGTCTCCATTCACTCCTATCGAACACGCTCATGCATGCCTGCTGGAAGTCCAAGCCCGTCGCCCACAAAACCTCCCTTACCCCTTCCTTCCAACCTTTTTGAGGACAACCCCTACCCCGCCTTCCTTTCCCTACAGATTTATACGCTCTCCATGTCATTCTACTTTGATCCATTCTCTCTAAATGACCAAACCACCTCAACAACCCCTCTTCAGCCCTCTGACTAATACTTTTATTAACTCCACACCTTCTCCTAATTTCCACACTCCGAATTTTCTGCATAATATTTACACCACACATTGCCCTTAGACAGGACATCTCCACTGCCTCCAACCGCCTCCTCGCTGCTGCATTCACAACCCAAGCTTCACACCCATATAAGAGTGTTGGTACCACTATACTTTCATACATTCCCTTCTTTGCCTCCACAGATAACGTTTTTTGTCTCCACATATACCTCAACACACCACTCACCTTTTTTCCCTCATCAATTCTATGATTAACCTCATCCTTCATAAATCCATCCACCGACACGTCAACTCCCAAGTACATGTATCTGAAAACATTGACTTCTTCCATACTCCTCCTCCCCAATCTGATATCCAATTTTTCTTTACATGTATCTAAATCATTTGATACCCTCATCACCTTACTCTTTTCTACGTTCACTTTCAACTTTCTACCTTTACACACACTCCCAAACTCATCCAATAACCTTTGCAATTTTTCTTTAGAATCTCCATAAGCACAGTATCATCAGCAAAAAGCAACTGTGTCAATTCCCATTTTGTATTTAATTCCCCATAATTTAATCCCACCCCTCTCCTGAACACCCTAGCAATTACTTCTTTTACAACCACATCTACAAATATATTAAACAACCATGGTGACATTACACATCCCTGTCGGGCTCTGGTGGCCTGGTGGCTAACGCTCTCACTTCACACGGTGAGGGCCTGGGTTCGATTCCCAGCCAGAGTAGAAGCATTGGACGTGTTTCTTTCAACCTGTTGTCTATGTTCCCCATCAGTAAAATGGGTACCTGGGTGTTAGTCGACTGGTGTGGGTCGCATCCTGGGACACTGACCTAATTTGCCCGAAATGCGGAGCATAACACGTGAGTTTCTATATAGTAGTATGTCATTGTTGTCAGCTAGGACTGTATACGTTGTACATACACTTGTAGTAAATAAAGATATTATTATTACATTATTATTATTATTATTATTACTTTTACTGGGAAGTAGTCTCCCTCTCTTCTACACACCCTAACCTGAGCCTCACTATCCTCATAAAAACTCTTTACAGCATTTAGTAACTTACCACCTATTCCATATACTACTTGCAACATCTGCCACATTGCTCCCCTATCCACTCCATCATATGCCTTTTCTAAATCCATAAATGCAATAAAAACTTCCCTACCTTCATCTAAATACTGTTCACATATATGCTTCAATGTAAACACTTGATCTACACATCCCCTACCCACTCTGAAACCTCCTTGCTCATCCGCAATCCTACATTCTGTCTTACCCCTAATTCTTTCAATTATAACCCTACAGTACACTTTTCCTGGTATACTCAAGAAACTTATTCCTCTATAATTTTTGCAATCTCTTTTGTCCCCCTTCCCTTTATATAAAGGGACTATACATGCTCTCTGCCAATCCCTAGGTGCCTTCCCCTCTTTCATACATTTATTAAACAAAAATACCAACCACTCCAACACTATATCCCCCCCCCCCTGCTTTTAACATTTCTGTCATGATCCTGTCAGTTCCAGGTGCTTTACCCCCTTTCATTCTACGTAATGCCTCACATACCTCCCCCACACTCACATCCTGTTCTTCTTCACTCCTAAAAGATGGTATACCTCCCTGGCCAGTGCATGAAATTACCGCTTCCCTTTCTTCGTCGACATTTAAAAGTTCCTCCAAATATTCTCGCCGTCTACCCAAAACCACCATCTCCCCATCTACTAACGCCCCTACTCTGTTTTTAACTGACAAATCCATTCATTCTCTAGGCTCTCTTGACTTGTTTAACTCACTCCAAAATTTTTTCCTATTTTCATTAAAATTTCTTGACAGTGCCTCTCCCACTCTATCATCTGCTCTCCTTTTGCACTCTCTCACCACTCTCTTCACCTTTCTTTTACTCTCCATATACTCTACTCTTCTTATAACACTTCTGCTTTGTATAAACCTCTCATAAGCTAACTCTTTCTCTTTTATCACACCCTTTACTTCATCATTCCACCAATTACTCCTCTTTCCTCATGCACCACAAACTTCTGCCCCACATTCTAATACTACATTTTTAAAACTATTCCAACCCTCTTCAACTCCCCCACTACTCATACTTGCACCAGCCCACCTTTTTGCTAATAGTTGCTTGTATCTCACCTGAACTTCCTCCTCCTTTAGTTTATACACTTTCACCTCCCTCTTGCTTGTCATTGCCATTTTCCTCTTTTCCCATCTACCTCTTACTCTTACTGTAGCTACAACTAAATAATGATCCGATATATCAGTTGCCCCTCTATAAACGTGTACATCCTGAGCCTACCCATCAACCTTTTATCCACCAATACATAATCTAACAAACTACTTTCATTACGTGCTATATCATACCTTCCATATTTATTTATCCTCTTCTTCATAAAATATGTATTACTTATTACCAAACCTCTTTCTACACATAGCTCAATTAAAGGCTCCCCATTTTCATTTACCCCTGGCACCCCAAATTTACCTACTACTCCCTCCACAACATTTTTGCCCACTTGAGCATTGAAATCCCCAACCACAAGTACTCTCACACTTGGTTCAAAACTCCCCACGCATTCACTCAACATTTCCCAAAATCTCTCTCTCTCTCTCCTCTACACTTCTCTCTTCTCCAGGTGCATATACGCTTACTATAACCCACTTTTCACATCCAACCTTTATTTTACTCCACATAATCCTTGAATTAATATATTTATAGTCCCTCTTTTCCTGCCATAACTTATCCTTCAACATTATTGCTACTCCTTCTTTAGCTCTAACTCTATTTGAAACCCCTGACCTAATCCCATTTATTCCTCTCCACTGAAACTCTCCCACCCCCTTCAGCTTTGTTTCACTCAATATACAGTACTGGGAAATTATTAATATTGGAAACAACACTGATTTACAGTTATCCTAAGTTAAATATACATTAACCATCTATGTATGGTATGTCTATAACAATTATACTTGTTGAAACCATTGTACAAATTTATTTTAGTCTTTAAATTTATAGATTATGTGAATAAAGCTTAACACTAATTATAATAACAATGCAAACAAAACTGCATCATGTTGCTGAGTACCAGTTAATAAAAAATAAAACTTTAGACACTATTATTATATTAATGGGGAAATGCAGAACACCTACGGGTCATAATGCTCCAAGAAAATGCCATTAAAATATTTATTTAATTCTTGCTGTATATGCTAATATATGCACTGCCTTACAACCAGAGCAAGATTCTTATTTAGTTCAAAATCATCCAGAGATTTTACAGAAAATTCATCATTATTAAATATTTTTCATTTGCACTTTAACCCTTAAACTGTCCAAACGTAGATCTAAGTTCACTCGTGTAGCGCTCCGAAGGTAGATTTATGCTTTTTTTTACTTAAGAAAGCACGTAAAATCAAACATAGATATGCGAGTGTATGTAGATCTATGTTTGGACAGTTTAAGGGTTAAAATAGTTAATTAATAATAATTATTATTATTATTTATATTTAGAAAACCATACAAATATTTTACATACATTAACAATTTGTGCAATGGTTCTCAGGGATCACAGATGATTTGACATACTACATTGGTATGCTATGTAATAGGATAACTCAATAAAATCAAACTAAATTAATTCCACTGGAGTTAGCATACAGGAGTGGTATACTATTATGGCTTAACACAGGCTATTTCAACTTTTTTTTTTTCATATTTCTTATATGGTGTCCCAACAGTCAAGTAATAAAGCACCAGACTGTAGTAAAGGGCACACGTGCACTTATTAAAATATTTAATAAGAAAACATCATGACACAAGTGGTTTCTTCAGTCTTGAAATAACTTATAGTGAAATATTTCCTTATTGAATGCCTTAATCAGTGCATACATGTCTTTCACCTATAACTTGTTAAGAAAGGACAAAATTTGTTGGAGTTTTTAACTGGGGGGAAGGTTAGCTGCCAGGATAACCCAAGAAAGACAGTGCGTCATCGAGGACTGTTCGTCTTATTTCCATTGTGGTCCTTCAGGCTTGTCCCCCAGGATGCGACCCACACCAGCTGACTAACACCCAGGTACCTACTTACTGCTAAGTGAGCAGGGAATAAAGATGTAAGGAAACATGCCCAACATTTCCACCCTGCCAGGGATCAAACTGCAGACATTCAGTGTGAGAGGCGAGAACATTGCTAACAAAACTAGTTCCACATAAAACCATAATAACAACTTAACCCTAGTGAAGTATACTCCTACAAATAGTCTTCATCTGTTATACCCGGGTATGCTCTATCTTATGAGGATAAATATTAAAATATAATCAACTAAATTAGAATTTATCATTAATAGTATCGAGGAACACGTAAAGTAACAATCACCTAAGTGAACAAGAAGCTTATTACAATTCTGTTTGATGACACAACCATGAATACCTCACTAGGGTTAAAAGGCTGTAAAAGGAAGTTTATTCATGTACAGGTACACGTAAGTATAATTATTAAAGAGAAACAATAAAAACATGTAAATTACCTAGGATAACCCCCAAAAAAGTCAAAGTGGCTTATTTCCTAACTATATTTAAGTAAATGCTACAGCAATTTAGAAATATTTAATTATCTCAATTATTGTATATTATAAAAACTTAATAGGCTTAGTTTGTATTAACTAATTATTATTATAATCAAGGGGAAGCGCTAAACCCGTAGGATTATACAGCACCTGTGAGGGGATTGGAAAGTATTCAGGGATAATTCAGGGAATTGGAGCACAGATCCAGTTCCCTAGATCAAGAGCCCCTCACCAGCATCAAGAACCTTCCTTGAGGGGTGTATTAACTAAACTATACAATACTCTTACATTAGAAACCTAGTATAAATGACATAGATATATTAACAAGCACTAACAATGACTTTATAAACATCTCATACATGTGATACATATTTTAACATTCACCACAATAATGTAAAAAAAAGTTTGACATTTGGTCATCAAGAAAGTCCATCTTGCCTTTCATAAACATAACACTCTGACGGCATTTAGGTTGATTTTGTACACCATCTTCCTGTTCCTCTTTGCTTCTCTGCCTCCTCTTTGAGGGCGACCTGGGCATTTTATACGATGAACAAGAGGAAATAATGAGGTAAAAATGGACGCTGGTAGCCTCCTCTTCTTGCCCGCCAAATAATGTAAATAAATCCAAGTTTGGCGCGAAAAATGTGTTTTTCCTCTGTTATACGGAATAACATTAAGTAATAATAATAATAATAATAATAATAATAATAATAATAATAATAATAATAATAATAATAATAATAATAATAATAATTAACTTTATTTCTACCAGTACATGTACAAGGTATACAGGTCTAGCTGACATCAATGATAATAAGTCATTTTGTCTGACCTATTTTGGGATATACTTGGTAATCTATACATATTCAGCTATATACGATTATTTATGTAATTGTATATGTATACCTGTACATGAATGAACATACTTATTTACTTACTAATTTCGGGATGCGACCCACACCAGTCTACTAACACCCAGGTACCTATTTTACTGCTAGGTGAACATGGACAGCAGGTGTTTTAAGGAAACACGTCCTAATGGTTCCACTCGTATTTCCGGAAAATAGGAGCCATGCTCTTTGGCACGAAAAGTAAACTGAAAAGGGTAAATAATTTTAATGTCCAGTGTAATTGGGACTCCATCACTTCAGTATCATCAGTGAAATATCTGGGAATCCCCTTTGACCCATGCATGACAGGAGAATTGATAAGGAACAATGTAGTAAAGAACGTGAATGGCAGACTAAGTTCCTCTACAGACAGGCACAGGGTCTACCTGAGGGACTGACCACCTCAAAACTTCAAGGATGATGGACTGATTACATCGTCTTCAAGTCTCTTCTGCTTCTATCAACTTTTCTGTACTCGACTGAAGAAGCCTACTGTGTAGGCGAAACGTTTCGAAATAAAGATACCTAACTGTTGCATATGTGTCTTACCTACAACCTGTCGGTATTTTATACCATTTTAATGTCCACAGTGTCTACCTACTGAGGCTCCCAGGACTTTATGTGTAGCTCTTGTAAGATGCCATGTAGACTATTTTTGCTCTTCATGGTACTCTGGTGGCTAAGCTCTCGCTTCACATGGTGATGGTCCAGGTTCGATTCCCGGCGAGGATAGAAACATTAGGTGTGTTTCTTTACACCGGTTGTCTAGGTTTACCCATCAGTAAAATGGGTGTCTGGGTGTTATTGGACTGGTGTGGGTCGCATCCTGGGACAAAACTGACCTAATTTGTGGGAAATGTTCAGCATAACAAGGGACTTTCTATACAGTAGTATGTCACTTATGTCAGCTATGGTCTGTATACCTTGTACATGTACCTGTAGAAATAAAGATAATATTATTATTACAAATCACCCAGAACGAAATGGTAAGACTCCTGCTGGACCTGGGTCCAAGAGAGCATGTCTGCCAGGATGAATTACAAAAACTGAATGTGATGAATGTTGAAGACAAGAGTAAAGCAACTGAAGTTAAATCACGTTTATAAAATTTCTCACAAGTAGTGACCAAAATATCTTGCTGCCAAGTTTGTCAAGGCTGGGAACCAAAACAAGTATTGTACTAGGGAGTGACCACGGTACTGTGGTACGTACCACGGTATGTGGTCAGGCTTCAAACACCTTTTATTGTACAGAAATAAAGAAGTGGAACGGATGGCCTGTACAAGACGAGTCAAAGTCAGTCATAACACGAGCCAGTTCACGAAGACAGCTAATAGGTACCTGATGAATGAAGCGACAGAGAGGGAGGAAACTGATTTCATATATAGATAACTTTCATGCACCTGTTATTCTATGCTGATCCTCTCTTTAATGTTAATACAAATAACTAATTTGACCTTACCTGTTTTAACTTTTAAGGTTTAAATAGTAAGACAGTACAAGGACCACAATGGAAATAAGTCTGTCTGGCTTTTTTTGGGGATTATCCTACTAATTTACACATATGTTACTATGTATGATAATTATACTTATGTGTACCTATACCTAAATAGACTTACACTTCAATAAATGTCTTAAGACAGTAATGGTAAGACAGAAAGTCTGCCTTCACAGCCAGCCAGAAAAACAAAATTACATATTTGTACAATAAACGTATATGATGAGAGCACAAACATAAGTAAGTAAGTAAGTAAGTAAGTAAGTTTATTCAGGTATACACAAATACAGTTACATAGAATTATCATACATAGCAGCATATGTGTAGAGAACCTAGGATAACCCAAAAAAGTCAGACAGAGTGACTTATTTCCATTGGGATCCAGACAATAAGACAAAATAAGACAGAGATCAAAGAATCCAATGGACATATTACTGTCTTCATTGTATTGTGCATAATGTACTACATATGTATACTTACAACATATATTTTATGTGTCCTCAGAATCATTGTACAAATTTAAGCTAATGTATGTAAAATAATTTGTATATTTCCCGAGTAAACCCAATGTGGGTTATTTCCATAAGAATTATTCGTATTTTTAACCCGGGGGAGAGTTAGCCACTTAGAATAACCAGAGAAAATTAGTGTTTCATAGAGGACTGTCTTATTACTGTGCCCCGTGGCCTGGTAGCAAAAGCTGTAGCTTCACACGGTGAGCGTCCGGGTTCGATTCCCGGCGAAGGGGTGGAAACATTGGACGTGTTTCCTTACACCTGCTGTCCATGTTCACCCATCAATAATAATGGGTAACTGGGTGTTAGTGGACTGTTGTGGGTCGCATCCTGGGACAAAACTGATCTAATTTGCAGGAAATGTTCAGCATAACAAGCGGCTTTCTATATAATAGTATGTCATTGATGTCATTGATATTATTATTATTATTGTGGTCCTAAAATTTTGTATTTCGGGGTGCTACCCACACCAGTCGACTAACGCCCAGGTACCTGCTTACTGTTAGGTGAATAGTGACAACAGGTGTAAGGAAACATGCTCAACATTTTCACCCGTGCCGGGGATTGAACCGTGGACAGTGTGAGGCGAGTGCGTTACCTACCAAGCCACGGAACTTGAGCTCTCCTACCCAGAAAGCTACCCTCAACAATCGGCTAACACTCAGAAATACCTACTTACTGCTAGGTGAACATGGGTAACAGATTAAGTAAGTTTATTCAGATGTACACAAATACAGCTACATATATATATATATATATATATATATATATATATATATATATATATATATATAATATATATATATATTTATATATATATATATATATATATATATATATATATATATGTAGGTAATTTGGTAGCGATGGATAATCCTGGATGCAACACACAGGTCCTCGTGGGGGGGGGCACATCCGGAAGTTAAAGACATAGATGAGCCGTAGAGATGTCAGGAACTATTTCTTCAGCCTCAGGGTGGTCGGGAAGTGGAATGGCTTCGATTTTGTAATGGAGGCAGACTTCATGCATTGTTTCAAGAATTAGTACGATAGGGCCCACGAGGCTGGGAGGGAATGAATCTGGCAAGCAACAAGTTGAGAAGCGGGACCAGGAGCTAAGACTCAACCCCTGCAACCACATATAAATAAGTACATAAAGATGAGTACACATTTCTGACAACTTATAAATACCACAGAGCTTTGCTATAAATGATATATCATATATATTATAAATTCAGTTTAAATTCTATATTCCTTTTAAAAGAATATTTACTAGTTTTGAAAATTCTATTACCTGGAGAGAGTTCCGGGGGTCAACGCCCCCGCGGCCCGGTCTGTGACCAGGCCTCTATAAGGTTAAGGATAGATTTATTATTTAAGAAGAGGTGCAGCTCCAAGCCCGGATAGCTCAGTCGGTAGAGCATTAGGCTTTTAACCTAAGGGTCCAGGGTTCGAGTCCCTGTTCGGGCGATTACTTTTACAAACAACACAAGTGTTCAAAACATGTGACATTATCTACACCGAGTTTGTGCATAAATAAAAACTAACTAAAGCTAAATTCTGTTTCCCTGGTAAAGACAGTGATACATACATGTGTAAGGTAAGGAGACAACCGCAGCAGCACCAGTTATAAAGAGGACAGGGCAGGGTACTGTCCTACTGTTGCTTCATTAAGTTTATTCAGGTATACACAAATGCAGGTATATAGATTATCATACATAGCAGCATGTGGGTAGAGAACCTGGGATGACCCAGAAAAAGTCAGAGTGACTTATTCAAGGATTTGGAAGTATCCCCATTCTTCAGGCGAGCCTGGTTACAAGTCTGTTACTACCTGGAGGTTATTCCGGGGATGAACGCCCCCGCGGTCCGGTCCACGACCAGGACTCACGGTGGATCAGGGCCTGATCAACCAGGCTGTTACTGCTGGCCGCGCGCAGTCCAACGTACGAACCAAAGTCCGGCTGAATAAAAAAAAATGCAAATGGGGTTCTTTTAAAGCCAGAGACCAACATTCTCATCATTCTTAATCATAAACTCAATTCACAAATTACGTACCACTCAATGTCTTTCATTAGTTGCTTGTAGATGCTTGTGATTAGAAAAATCTTTGAGAGGTCAGTCTTAGAATTAAAAGCAATTTCTGCCCGCAGTTACCAGGCTTCATACAATAGAGAGGAATGTTCTAGCTGGTCCAGTGGCTAACGCGACGGTCTGGAGTTTTGAGACTTTTTGATCGCGGGTTCAAACCCCGCCCGTGGTATGGTTTGAGAGGAATGTGCATCATTACAGAACTACTTTCATCACCGTGCACAATAACATCTTCCTTCATCTTAACTCTACCTGTGATGCTGCAAGCAAGTTAGGTTAGGTAATGTTTGTCAGGAAACAGGACAAGTATTTCCTGACGTGGATTGTAGTCATGTAATTCAACCAGCCATGTTATCCTACCTGGAGGGTGTTCTGGGGGTCAACGCCCCCGCGGCTCAGTCCTTGAGCAGGTATGCTCCAGGCCACCCGCTGGATAAGGGCCTGACCAACCAGGCTGCTACTGTTGGTCCCACGTAGTCCAACGTACGAACCTGTATATGGATCCAATTTAGACATTAGGGCCGCGTAAATAACCGGTTTCCACCCATTAATTAAACTGAATTGTTCGTTATAACACTTACACTCAGATGTATCTGTCTTAATCGTGTCTACACGTAAAGTAAGTTTA